AGGAGAGGAGAGGAGAGGAGGGAGGAGGGGAGGAGACTTGAGAGGAGAGGAGAGGAGAGGAGAGGAGAGGAGAGGAGAGGAGAGGAGAGGAGAGGAGAGGAGAGGAGAGGAGAGGAACAGGCTGGAGAGGAGAGGAGATGAGGAGGGGAGAGGAGAGAGGAGGAGAGGAGAGGAACAGGCTGGAGAGGAGAGGAGAGGAACAAGCTGAGGAGGAGTGGGTTGGAGAGGAGAGAGAGGAGGTGTGTTCCAATCACACTCATCTGCTTCCCGCAGGACCGAAAGATTTCGGTTGCATCGAGATTATCAGAGAATCATCTCTACGTGTGAGAGAAGGTCGGCATGTCAAGGTTTCACTTGTCCTCCTCATGGTCAAGGGCAGGAGACGCCTCCAACTTCTCCACCTGCCTGTTCTCCTCCACAGGAGCGACAGGACTGCAGGAGATTGTCGTCGGGCGGTTGAGGTAGCGGCGGGTTCCTCGAAGACTCGCTGGATGACGTCATAGCAGGTCTATGGATCGTTGGGGAAGTTGCGATGTTGTGGGAGAAGATTTTGTCTGCAGCCAACCTCCCTGCTCCACTGTCTTCTCTCATTCTTGGCTGGTCTATCCCAACGATCTCAGCTTTCCTGTCTCTCCTGTACTGGACCATCTGAGGAGGACGGAGGAAGTCCACGGCTTCGTGGAGTTTGAAGACAACGAGTTCTCCACACTTTCTTCTCGTGAACTCTCTACCGCTGCAATCAGCATCTACACAAACTTGATCGGGATTCTCAACACTCATCGAGGTTGTCGAAATGTTTGTAATACTAGCATGACAAGGACTGACTGCCAGCAGGAACCATCGTTGATGGTGAGCAGATCGATCAGATTGCAACAGGGATCAAACACCCTGACCGGGGATATCACGACATGTTCAACTTCTTCGACCCTGACAGCTACTTCTCCATCCAGGTTTGTGAGATGATGATGTCTGCGGTGAATGCACACATGGCAGGCCCTGCTGTTGTCAGGCAGTCGATACGTTCACGAACAAGTCCGCAGGGTGATTGAGAGAAGGAAAGAAAGCGTTTGCTAGACGTCAGAGAGTGAGTTAGTGCTTACAGCGGTTCTTGCATCTGCACGAATTCCACGCAAGAATGCTCGAAAGGACAAGTAAGATGTGGGAGAGAGGGAGAGAGAGAGGGAGAGGGGGGGGAAGAAAGGGAGAGAGGGATAGAGCAGAGCAAAGGAAGGGAGAGAGGGGGAGAAGGAGATGGAGAGAAGGAGGAAGAGGGAGGGAGACGTAGACGGAGATGGAGATGGAGACGGAGACGGAGACGGAGACGGAGAGGGAGGAAGGAGCGATTGAAGAGAGGGAGGGAGGAAGAATCAGCCTCATGGATTGATAGTTTGCTTTTCAGATCCCTCATCACTTTGTAAAGGACCAGCCATTCTTTCGAGCCATATCGGGAGAGGTTGGAATGTCACAAACCTGTCAGGGTACTCTGATTCTGCTCAACAGAGGCAAACTGGACCTAACGTCTTCTGGATCCTTACATGTACAACATCCTTGCCGAGGCAACATGTTCAAGATGATCTCTTGGTCCGCAGCCATCGAGTTTGCGAAAATCTCTGCAAACTACACGTGGATCTCGTCCCAACTCCCTCTCCTCCGAGACGCCCTCCAGTACCTCCTCGACGGCCTCGACCCTGTCTGCTCTCTTGACGTCCCACCAACATGGTGCTGACGTGGCAGGGGCAGGAGGAGAGTTTGATGTGGGCGGACGGCAGTCTGATGATCGACACGTTCAGACGTGCTGGTTTCACGTCTGATACGAATGCGATCTTTGTCTACCTGCTCAACGAGTTAGGTAGGAGCGAGAGAGTTGTTGTGGGTGATGATGAAGATCAGGACGTGGAAGATGTTGGGTTTGTTATCGTTGGTGTTGAAGTTGTTTCCTGACAAGGATGTCGAGATTGTTTTGTTTGACATGATTGTTTCACACTGTCTTCTCTCTCTTGCAGTCACTCTGATGACCGTTAGCGCTCTTTCGAGTATCCTTGATGACTTGTGATTCCCAGCTGACGTCGAGCTCAAGTTCGGAGATAAAAGACTCTCGAGCCAGTTGAGAGCTCTCAGCCTGAACATGAAGAAGTCGTTCAACTTGAGGTTGTGGCGAGGTGAAATCTCCTCCTCCTCACCCCTCTTCTGCTTTCTATCATTCCCTTTCATCCCCTCGCTCCCTCCCTCCTCTTTCTCACTCTTCTATCCCTTCCTCGCTCCTCCCTCCTCGCTCCTCCCTCCTCCCTCCTCCCTCCTCCCTCCTCCCTCCTCCCTCCTCCCTCCTCCCTCCTCCCTCCTCGCCTCCTCGCCTCCTCCCTCCTCCCTCCTCCCTCCTCCCTCCTCCCTCCTCCCTCCTCCCTCCTCCTTCCTCTGTCTCACTTTCTCTTCTATCTGTCTCCAGACGATCACTTCGTGACGAGCGTCGACCGTCAAGGTATCGCGAAGGAGACGTCTATCACCTCGTGAAGCAGCGCAGGAAATTTCATCGACCTTGTTGACTATGACGCGAACTTGATGGCCGTCGCTCTCAACTCAACAGACTCCCAAGACAAGGACGAGAAAATCCTTGACAGGAACAGCTCGTGCTGCTGCTCGTGCTGCTGCTTCACCTCCTGCCCCTCCTGCACATCCTCCCCTTCCTCCTGCAACCGCTCCTCCCCGTGCTGCTGCTGCTGACTTTGCTGCATTTCTTGCTTTTGCTTCTGATCCAGTCCTGATCATAGTCCTCCACTTTATTCTCCTCCCCTCCACGCTCCTCCTTTTGCTGACCCTGCTGCTGCTTCAGGATCGACTCTAACCCTCTGGCTGCTCGGGTGCCAACATGGGTAAGTGAGACGATCTATGAGGGAGAGATGAGCAGGTAAGCGCTCCTCCTCCTCCTGCCTCCTCCTGCCTCCTCCTGCCTCCTCCTGCCTCCTCCCCTCCTTTCCTTCCTCCTCCTCGTCCCCATCTTCCCTTCCCAATGATCTCTGCGACTTCTCCACTGACCTCCTCGACTTCTCTCCTTCTCCTTCCCCCTTATGCTGCCCTCCATATGTGTTGCCAACGCTTGTCCCAGGCCAGAGGGAGGGACGGCAGATTCAGTCTGTGGGATGGCCAGGTACCAGCATGCTGCTCCTTCTCCCTTCCTCTCTCCTCACTGAGCTGTAGGATTGCCTGGTTCAACGCACTTGCAAGGAGGAAACTTGACGGCCCTCGCAATTTTCGCTTCTTCCTCCAGAACCTGCTCTTGAAGATCTCAGCAGACTTGATGTAATGATATCACTCTCCTTCTCTCCCTCTTTTCTTGTCCTTTGCCCTCCTATTCGTCCTCCACCTCCCCCCCCCTCCCGCCCCTCCCCCCTTCCTCCTCCTCCTCCCAATTCACCATCTCCTCCTCTTGTCCTCCTCATGACCTCTTCGTCTCCCCGACGCAACAACAGGGAGCACACTTGGCTGCCGGAGAGATACACTATCGACGGCTCCCCTCAGGTACTGCCAGCTCGCACTTTCTGTTCCTCACGTGGGGACAAGCTGGACAGAACAGGCTTCTACTTCGAGTATCCTGCCGTCCTCCTCCTACTCCTCTACAAGATTCTTCTCGGCATTGAGTTTGGGTTCAGCTACGGTATGAAATGGCTCCAACATATCCTCCCTCCTTGCTCTCCCCTCACGTTCCCTTCTCCTCTCTGCTCCTTCCCTTCCCCTCCGCATCTTTTCAGTTCCTCATTGCTGCTGCTGCAGTCGCCGTCCGCCCATGGGCTGTGAGAAAGTTTCGGATCGCACTCGGGGGCTTCAAGGTACATTTCCTTCGTTACCATCATGTCAAGATTACAACATACACGCACGGTGAGTCACCATGACTTCTAAAACTTCCTCTCACACTCCTCCTCCTCCTCCTCCTCCTCCTCCTCCGCCAGGCGCGACTTCCTTCCTTTTCTCGCACATGGCAGACCCACACAAGCCTCTCAAGTTCGTCGTCTCTTCCTACTGCCCTGGACAATCGCCCAGCAAGATGCAGCAATGCACCGATGAGCAAGTGAGCCCTGCTCCTCCGCTGTGTTCTTGTGGGCTCCTTCCATGCTCTTCATGACTCGCTGCTTCCTCCTTGGCTCCTCCTTCCTCCTTGACCTTGCATGGCAGGGAGATCTTCAGTTTGTTCTAGATGTCCCTCAGTGCCTGCCACCGAGAGTGCGAGGACGAGCCGTCTTCTCCGACGAGGATCATGACCTGGCGACCGTCGCCGCCCATGTCCTGCCTGGAGCTGTATGCTGAAAGACACGGGGAGAAGCTGAAGGAATAAGTGGAGGCAGCAGAAGAGGAGGAGGAGGCGGGCGGGGAAGGGGAGGGGGGGGGCAGGTGGGGATACGAGAGGTTTCATCACTTAGAGTCCAGTGATCTGAACCCCCTCCATGTCTCCATGTCTATTCCCTCCCTCCTCGCTCCCTCGATGTAGCTCAGCAGCGTCTTCGACGGCCCATCCTGCGGCCGAAGCTCCAGACAAGCTCGGAAACATTCCTCTGCCTTCTTCCAGTCTGCCCCTTCTCCCTCCACACCCCCTAGGTAGCTGAAGATGCCCCTGCTGAACCTGTCGCTGAATTCATGCTCATCGACGGGCCTGACGACATTGTAGAATTCTTCGTTGGAGAGCACAGAGAAATCGAGCTCCTCTACCCCCCCTCCCGCTGGTGCTGCTCGGGCACGTCGAACGTGTAGAGCTCGACAGGAGCGTTGCTTCCCTTCACCGTCACTCGGTCCACGAAGCGGCAGAGGACTTGGACTCTCTTGGAGAGCAGGCCGAAGACGTCTCCTGAGATGAGGATAGGAACCCCGTACTGCTTGCTCGCCTGCTCCAGCCTTGCCGCCATGTTGACGTGCGGGCTGAGGTAGGACGCGTCCAGCTTGTGTCGAGACCCTATGGTGCACTCGATCGCCCAGCTGACGGAAGCGATCAGGATACAAGGAGGAGTGAGGAGGAGACAGTTGGGGAGAACAGGGGGAAAACAAGAGGGAAGGAGAGCGCGGGGAGGAGAAGCAGGAGGGGAATCAGGAGGAGGAGGAGGTGGAGGTGGTGGTGGAGGAGGAAGAGGAGGAGGAGAGTCTCACCCGAAGTGCAAACCAAACCCCATGGTAGTCGAGTATCCCGGCATTCGCTCTTGAACTTCCTTGCGGCTGGTGTGGTAGAGCAGCCTCCGATCGCGAGAGATCTCAAGGATGGACTGGATGTAGGAGCGCAGGGCGCTGTCTGCTACCTCCTGTATCGCCACGTCTCCCTTGGGCTTCCAGACAAGCTGGGGAGGAGATAGTGAGTGACAGAGGAAGAGGCGAGGATGCGACGAGCGGAGGATGACGAAGAGGAAAGGAGAGGAGAGAGAGAGGAGTGACAGTAGGGGAGGAGGTGGTGGTGAAGATAACAGGATGAGAAGAGGGCGGGAGGATGAACGATGAGGAGGCGTGGGAGAGGAGGAAGGGAGGAACACTGACCAGGAAAGCATCTCCGATGTTCTTGTTGGGAGCTCCGTGGTTCCTAGTCACGTTGCCGTGGACGATTCGACCTACGTTGTTCACCACCTTTACCACGTCAGCTTGAAGCACTTCCGTCAGGTCCGTGAAGTTTCGAATGTCGCAGAAGCCGAAGAAAGCGTTGATGATCGTCCCAGTATTGTTCACGTCCACCCCGCACATGCTCCCGCTCCTCAGACTGCGCGAGATCACTCTCGCTCCTGCCTCCCCGAACCCCAGCTGCAACAGCTGGGCAAGGCTGATCAGCCCGTGCTCGATCTTGGCGATCTTGGGATGCTTGTGCCTGGCCGTGTGGAGCGGCTCCAACGGATCCTCGGCCATGGCCGCCACCTTGTTCGCCACGATGTCAAGCGGCTCGACTAGCTGCTTGCGCACAGAGGAAGCGATGCTCCAGGAGGAGGAGAAGAGCACGACAAGGACGACGAGGATGGTGAGGAGCCGGAAGGAGGCTTCTGCGAGGCTGGGGCGGGTGAGGTCCAGGAGCATGCGGCAGGGAGCATCAGGAACATCGGAGGTGATGAGGATGGTTGGGAGACCACTGGTGGGATGCTGCGAGCTCACGAGGGCGACGTCGGAGCACTCCATGTGGAGGATGGGCTCCCCACGATCCTCGTACGCCTCCCTGAAGGAGCTGAGAACAGCCGAGAACGTCGAGCTCCTTCCCTTGTCCTCCTCCAGCGAGAACATGCGGCCGATCCTCACCAAGTCGCTCTGGTACGTCGGGATGCTGGACGACAAGTTGGACCGGAAGAAGAGCAGGAAGACGAGGATCAGGACGATGGCGAAGCAGCGCTGTACGATGCTCCTGTCAAGTTCGTTGTCAATCGCCTGGCTCTCTTCGTCCTCGAGATCAGCCGCCTCCCTCTGTTCGTCTTGCACTCCCATCGACCTCGTGCTGCGGGAGAGGAAGGCTCCAGCAAGAGCTGCCCGCCATGACCTTGCGATGCGAAACATGGAGAACCTTGAGAGGAGGAGCTGGTGGGAGGGGAAGAGGAAGGAGATGTCCGAGAAGAGAGCAAGGCAGGAGATTGCATCGAGGAGGAAGTACATGCTCGACATGAAGTTGCTCTGGATGCAACAGCGGAGGAAGAGGTCCGTGAAGACAACAGCCCAACACGCCATGTCCAACGAGAGGAAGACAGGCTTGAGCAGAGGAGGCGGAGGGGACGTCTTGCAGAGCTCAGGGACGAGCAGGAGATACAAGGAAGAGACCCAGATCAGCATCACAGTGACAGGATGATTGACGAAGCACATGATGGAACATTCGAGCGCCTCCCGCCGATCATTGGATATAGCTTGCATGTGTAGATCCCTCATGTACGCAAGCTCGGAAGCGTCAAACTGGTCGACAGAGACGCTGGTAGAGCTTCTTTTCCTCATGCTCCCGTTCACTTTCGGGGCCAGCGAGCTGTAGATGTTCCCGGACATGGAGCTGCTTCTCTTTCTGGGGGCTCTGCCTCCCTCCTCAACGTTGCGATAGGAGCCGCTGAAACCTGCCGCTGCCGCACTGGAGGCAAAAATGTTGAGTTGGGAGCCGACCAGAGAGCTCTTCGACTCAGAAAAGTTGTCGATCCTCGCCCAAGAGCTGCGGGTTACTTCCCTCTTCGCTTGCGACTTGCGCTTCTTGACCTGTTGCAAGGCGTACCAGAACGCCTTGCGCCACCTTGACTTGACGAGCTCTTTCCTTGGGATGAAGTGGGCTCGATTATTGTGGGGCATCTGAAACGAATTCTTCTGCAGGACGTTCTCGCTGCTTCCTGCCCGACCAAACCTGCCCTTGCCGAAGCTTAAACGTCCTTTGATCTCCGTGAACAAGCTCAGCGGGCCTTGTCTGAGCATGCGGAAAGATCCAGATGTGTCAGAAGAGTGGAGACGAGACGGGACGTAAAAAGACTTCACGTTGCTGCTCTTCTTCTTTTGAACTGTGGAGCAGCTCTGGTATTTGATATCAAAGGAACGGCTCGAGTTGGCATTCTTTGGTTTCCCCACGTCCTCCGTCGTCTCGTTCACAGGCTCACAGCAGCAGTTCACACTCTCACTAGGTCCCGGCATCTCTGCGTTCGGCACATTCGGCTCCTCTTGGAATTCTACGTCCAAAGGCTGCTCCGTCCAAAGCCGATTGAAGCAAGAATCATTGGTTATCTCTCGACGAATACCGAGTGACCTGCCATTCCTGCACTTCGGCATGACCCCATCATGGTCCGAGGAAGGTGCCATGCAGGAAGGGAGGTCAGATAAGATGTTGGGACAATGGTCCACCCCGTTCTTTGTTGGACAGAACGACTGCAAGTGCGCAACCCTGGTCTTAGGGCGAACTGAAAGATTCTCCGAGAAATGAGAGATAAGCAAGCGTTCTGAGTGATCCGTGACCTTCATGCATGAATTTTGTATCTTGTTTCGACGCAAACTCTTGGTGGATTTTCGGCCACACCGCAAACAAGTTCTTCCCAATCGTTCGTGATGACAAACCTGTGAACTAAGGTGAGTTTTCGACAAATGTACAGCTCCTTCCTCCCCCCCATCCTCGATCAAACATCTGAGCGATGCTTAGCAAATAGCAAGGTGAGTGCTATGAAGACATGAGGATGAATGAAAAATCCCTTCCCTACATGAGTAGGTGTATTTCACCTACACCCTTCCTGCTGCAACGCCACCAGTCACATTCTCACCGATCTCATACAACTCTCTATTGACATTTTCCTAAGATCGTGCTGCTCCCAACGAGAGGTGGAAGTTTGCTAGCCCCCGCATCATCTCATTTCTCATACTTCAAGATGTGTCCTGTCGCGCATGTCCATTGCGCTCTCACTATATTCGGAAGGGGTCCATCGAGTTTGAAACATTACTCCAACATTTGAAATAAACACTAATCATTTGAGGAGATACCCGGATGTTGCCGAACAGCGGTTTGGGAGTCGCTATTTTACGAGAGGTATCTTGCTGACAATCCTCGAACAGGATTAGCAAATACTCGAAAAGAAGCTTTTTCGATTGTCTTGTGATATGGTTGTCACGGTACGAGGAGCCAATAAAAGATTTCAAGGACCCCTCCTTGTCTTTATCCTTGAAAAGTACCCGTAGTCTCGGCAACCAACTCCATCGCCACCTGCGCTTTCAGTCAGCATGACTTGAAACGTTTTCATCCCTCGTGACCAAAGAGACTCTATCCGCGTGACTTTTTACATATCAAAAACCACTAATAAACTTGTCGCCGGCCGGTGTGTCAAAGTTGTACCTTGTCCAAGTTACTCGATGACTTGGTTACACTAATACAGTAGAATCGGAGGTGGTGCTAGACTCGGAGGCTGAGACGGATCTCGCCGGGGTCGGGCCGGGCCGGGCGGCCCCGGACTCGCTGACAGACTGAGAGTTGCAGCCCGTGACCTCTGACTGGCCGCCCTTTGCTCAAAGTCAAGTGCCGGCCGCCCAGTGAGTCTACGGTAAGCCAGCCAGACGCCAGGATCGCCCGGCCGGGCCGCATGGCTCAGCGGCTGGCATCAGTAGGGGCCCGGGGGTCGAACAGTTCAGTGATCATCGATCTTTAATGACCCAATGATTCTTGCTCGTCAGACATGAACACGGCATTCCTCTCGTCGGCGCTCGCCGCTTGCTTGCGTGCTGGCTGCTGAGGCCGTTCTTTGTCTCTCAAGGGGACTGCCATTGAGCATCATTCGCTAGCACGTCTTTGGGAAGACAGGGGAGTTACCGAGACCGGGGGGTTGACTGTGAGGAAGAAAGCTGCAGTAGGAGTCAAAGGGATCCCCCTCCTGTGAGACTGTTTGCATCCAATGCTCCATCTACAGCATGATCAGAAACGAGCAGGTGAACCCTTAAAAGAAAGCAGCGGAGAGTTCAGATGGGGGTTTGAAGGAGTAGACGTGCGCGATGTTACTATGAGCTCCATGAAGTGAATGCGGCATGGAGGATAACAACAAAGAGTACAAACTTGAGCAGAACTCAAGGGGGCATACCCTCTGTAATGCTCCGTCCGCATCGACCTCTGGAAGCGCCTGGGGGAAGGTAAGTGAGAACGCTGGCTGTAACAAGTGAGAGCGGGGCAGTACTTCGAAAATGTTCCGCAAAAACCCTCTATCACGGATGGCAGCCTGTCGATCTTGCCTGCAGCAAAAGACAAGTGCAGGACGCATTCAGGAAAATGCCGAGGGCACAAAGGAGTTTCTCCTCCTTACCTTTTCCATGGCTCCAAGGCGTACGCTTTCATGCGGACACACTGATGGAGCAGGATGTGGTAGCTGTGGGAGATCTGATGTCTAGCATGACGCAACAGCTGGGCTGATCTCTTGGAAACGATTCTGAAGCTGAAGACACCAAAGTAGACAGAAAACCCAAAGATTGAGAAAGGAGCCCAAAGAAAAGAAGTCATGAGAGCAATAAAGAACACTATTGACCCCTGGCGATGAGCTAAGTTAGCATCAAGAGTAGAGGCAGGTGAAACTCACAATGAACAGCAACACCGCTAACATGACCATCCTTCCTGAAGCAGAGGTCGGCAGCGAAGCTCGCGCTTTTGTGACCTGGAGGATAAGTCAGCAAGGGATCTGCACGCCTCCGATTTGTATTACGAGGTCTGCGACATATGCCAAAGTCCTTGTGTAGGGATCGAGCGAAGAACCATTCATTGACGTTTGGTCCCAGGGCATCGATCTATGTTCGAAAAAGCAAAGATATTTCCAAACTCAGCCAAAACTCATGGCAGGGAACTACATTTATCTGTTCAACGTATCAAAGAGCTCTGTGATCATGCAAGATTGATTGTGCGCAGACTTGTTATCTCGTTGTCCTCCTGCAAAGATAGATCCCGAACAATGATGTCAAAACCTGTGAGAAATTGTTTACTGCAAACGCACAGATCTCGAACTTCAAGGTCTTGCTTTAGTCTCTTCACTATATCATGTTATGTTGCATTCATCAACGACTTTTCTTCCACTCCAAGCTCAGTTTCCCTCTGATTCATCATACTAAACTATTTGTGCTCCTCCTTTTCCTCCTTCTCCTCTCCCCCAACTCGCCCTCCTGTCCTCCCCCTTAATGATAGAGAATCACCACCCCCTCTCCGTTTGAATCGAAGTGGGACACCCAGAATAATTCGGTAAATTCAGTATCAGAAGTACCGGTCGTCCAATACCCCACCCCCTCGGCAGGCAGGTGCGAGTCGGGGGGAATCCAGAATGCGAAATGAAGAGGAAAGAATGATCAGCAGGGAGAGAGAGGAGTGAAAGAAGACAAGTGAGAAGTGATCGAAGAAGGAAGAGCTGATCCAGCGAGGAGAGGATGTTTTGAAATGGAATCTTTTTCTAATCATCTTCAACTTTCTGAAGACGTGCAACAGCCCTCATAATCTTGTTTCGTGCACCAATCTTCGATATTCCTGCATCAATGAGAGCTTGCTCGTTGATCATGTACAGTGTGTCATACGTCACTCCTGATGAATGCAAGATCTTCGAACAAGTGAATCCATCCTGCAGGCCCTCGATCGTCAGCCATTCTGCAGTCAAGCGGAAAGAATCCTCGAAATCAAGAGACAAGGGTGCTCGTGTTTGAGAGGCGTTTCTCGGAGGACGCTGCTTGACGGATGTCGACTTCGCTTGCTTCTCATGCAGCACTTTGCTGAACTTGTCCTCCAAGAAGTCAGTGATCATCTTTGGGACTCTCGTGTTTCCTATCTGACGAGCACGAGCTTTGACCTGCCCTGCAATGTCTAGTGCCGTCTTGCCGTGATAGTTCGTCCGCTCCACACTCAGACCTCTCCTCTCCACGAGGTCATGAACGATATCGAAGCTCAGGCTGGAGTGAGCAGCTAGCTGCAAGAGGTCATTGCCGTTGGAGTCAACGAGAGACAGAGGGTCATCCAGCTGAGCGATGAGCAACCGGTAGGACGGGAAGTGACCTTGCTGCACAGCGATCTGTAGAGCAGTCAAGTTCGAGTCGTCCCTGCGATTGATGTCCGCTTTGAATTCAAGGAGCAGCTCAATCATCTCGGTGTATCCGTTTCTAGCGCACACGTGCAATCCTGTTCCCATCCCAGCCCTCTGAGTGTTGACGTCTATCCCATGCTCCAGGTACCGCCTCGCGTGCATCAAATCTCCGAGGGAGATGGTTTTGAGGAACGCGATATCGACCCCGAGAAAGTTGACGGCAGAGTAGCTTTCCCTGTCCGTACTTTGAGGCCTCCCGGAGGTTTGAAGGACAACAGATTCTGAGCTGGCATCCTCAAGTTCCATCTCAAACTCGTTTGCCAGCTCATTTTCATTGTCAATCTTGGCATCTGACAGGGTCTCATGCTTTATCAAGCCATACTCGCTGAGCACTTTGCTTTGTTTCTCTGACATAGTTTGGAGATCAGAAGATGCTTGAAAACGCTTGTCAACTGCTTGGCTCTTCCAAAACCTGTAGAACTGCTGACTGACAAACAGCATAGTGTTTTGTGTCGCTTCTTCTTGACTTGTTTCCTCATCTGGAGCAGCTATCATATGTTCAGGATCAATGTAGCTGTCAAAGCTGTGCTGCCAACCCTTCAAGGGATCGAAGAATACATGACATGGAAGCGGTTTGGACGTGGCAAGGAGCTTTGTGAACCTTGAGATTATGCTGCTGGGAACAGTCTTGTCGCTTTGAAGGTTCTTGACGCGCTCGTTGGTAGCACATTCCGGGTCTCTCCAATCTGGTATCAGCTTCATGTAAACAAGACCATCGCCTTGGTACCCTGTGCCTGCTGACAGCACAGTGATGTCCCTCCCAACAAAACTCCCTCCCCCTCCCCCACCCCAGGCAAGTTTACCATTGCTAAGCCCCCCACCGCCTCCACCGGAATACCCTCCTCCTCCTCCTCCAGCGAACTTTCCTCCTCCACCCCCACCAAACCCGCCACCGCGGCTCCCTTCGCCTCCTTTGAGGAAGCTTTTAGCCCCAGCTATCTTTCCATCGTTCTGGGCACTCCCCTTAAAACCACCGCCTCCGTACGCCCAGAAGTGTCCGTCATCAAACCTTGACCCCCCAGCGGCTCCATCCTTACCTCCAGCACACCCACCATCACCATCACCATCCCAACCATCGGGCGACAGGTTCGCGTCCTTCCCCTTCCCGCACTGCCCTGCTCCTCCCCCTCCCCCGGCCACCACGACAGGGAACCAGTTTCGCTTGAAGATCACTTTCGTAGGGATCTTAGCTTTGTACTTGGCATTCGGCAGGATCTCACGGGGAATCGGGACGATGAAAGACGCTGTCCGAGTCCCCCACTTGGCGTCGGCAAGGAGCTTGTAAGTCGCGCCGTAAGGCCTCAAGTCCTCACCTGGCACGTCCACCGTGATGTATTTGGGGCGAGACTCCCTGCACATCGAGGTCAGACTGGGATGATGGCAAAGGAGGAAGGCAGCACTTGAGATCCCAGCCTGGTTTGTCGACGATACGGCTGGCCATGAATGATCCCCCTCCACCGCATCCTTGTGACTTCCCGCGACTCCCGATGGCTATCTTCACGGTATGCTCCTCCGTCAGTACCACCACGACCTCGAACCGTGCTCCCCCTCCCCCTGCGAAACTGTCCCATCCCTCTTCAGACGCATGTTTGCTGTCCAGCACCACTTTGGGCTGATCTCTCCCTTTCCCTGACGCTCCCTTGCAAATGATGAGGTACCTGGCAGCACGTTCCTCAACACCTCCTCCTCGATTCCTCTTCCTCAATTCCTCTTCTTCACAACTTCCATCTCACATCCTCCTCCCTCACAACAGTCAGGCGCTTACCTCCCCTGCCTCGGTATTCGGAACTCGCCGTAGCTTTGGTGGATGTAGATCCCTCTCCTAAGATCTTTCTCCAACTTCCGCCGCTGGTCCGCAGGCGGCATTTCCTCATCGAAGTCCATCATGTACTCCTCGATCGAGGATCCAGCCCCCATCGTGAGATCTCCGATGTTTTCGCACTTCACTTCCAAGTGTTCGTACCAATAGAGCCCAACATAATGGTCAACCACTGCCAGGGATCAGGTAATGGAAACCATAGCTTTGATTTCTCCAGCAGCAAGACGTGTTTCCAGGGCGAAATTCGGATGAGGAGGAACTGAGCACAGGTGGAAGCAGGGATCCCTACAGGAAGAGCTCTTGCCTCACTCTTCTCTTCTCCTCTGGCTACACCGGCATCGCCCTCGCACCATCACAGTCTGGCTACCGCAGTTCGCAGGCACGGCGGCAAGGATTGCATGCCATGATCAACCGATAGGTCCTGAGACCTCATCTCCACTATGACCCGGCTGAATTGATCGACGAGAACATGGGGTAGGGGGTGGGAATATGGCCAATACTACCCGTATAAAATTGCACAAAGAATTGATAAAATTGGGGGTGTACACCAACGACTGGGGGTCTGACACCTGTGGTGGAGGCGGCTCTTCGGCCATGGCCGGGAGGAACTATGGCGCGATGGAGGGAGAGGGCGCGAGGAGAACAACGACGAGAACATGCTCTCCGTCCCCTTCCTCCTACTCCTCCTCCTCCCTCTCTGCGTCCAGAAAGACGCTCTTTGTTGCTCCGATTGCTGTCTTGGCTGCCTCGCTCTCACTCCTTGCTTTCACTTTCTTGCCCACTCAGACCAATGAGAGGAGCGAGCTGGTGTCAGGAAGAAGGGGAGGAGCCTTGTTTCAGTCTCTTGCAGAGACTAGCGTCAGGACAGACAAGGCGCATCCCTACAACAGGATGATCAACTCTCCCGACCGTGTCAAGTTCATCAACACGGAATGGACTCCAGCGCAGACTGTAAATCCTCCTCCGGTTCATCCGTATCACGGAGGGTCGAGGCCTTCCAAGGTTCTTCACCGTGATTTCGAGCATGAGCCCTATGGCAATCACCTTCCCTGGGAGAAGGGACCTGAGGGAGCCCAGGCTAAGTATGCTGAGAGTCTGGAAGACTCGAAGGCATACAGGTACATGGTTGACAAGAACGGGATTGTGAGGAAGTGGGAAACCGATCTGCCTCTTGATCGTTATAATCCCAATCATATCGTTGTCTCCTCTGCACTGCTGGACAAGCTCTCTCCTCTACCTCCTCCATCGATTAACGCAAGGGACGTAGCGGGAGCGCTGGAAAGACACCAGAAGAACGAGATTCAGAAGAGCTTTCGAAGCATCTTTCCCAAGGGCATGTTTCATGACACCATCGTGGACTCTAGGACTGGAGCTGTTGCTCAGATCGCTGGCGTCTCACAAGAAGAATCCGTATGCCCCGGGGGGTTGTACAAGTGCAAGGACGACTCGTGTGTCGCGCACATCTCCTACTGCCCGGGATGCGACGTGTACCCGGTGCCGGAGCATTGCTCGCTGATTCAGCCTCACAAGAGCGGTTGGAGGGTCTCAGCAGGTGACAGGAGGCTTCCTCGTGGCCCCGTTGCTGACTTGGTGGCAGTGGGGTGTGATTCGTCCAACATGCAAGAGTGCGGGATGGCGGACGGAAACACTTTGTTTCTTCCGGTGAGCTGCTCTCAGAGGCTGTTTGTGTGATGTATCAACTTATCATGTCACATTTCATCTCGTTCATTCTTGTTCACTCATTCAGCTCTTCCTCACTCAGTCTCGTTCTCTTCTCCCCTCCTCGATCTCAGTCCCCAGTTTGTGTTGACGCCGCACTCACTTGTTCTTGTGCAGGGAGAGGCCGTTACTGGTGGGGTTTTTGATTCCGGCCTTGCTTGAACGATATTGATGCTTTCTAGCATGCGTGTGAAATAATGAAACCGACAACATGACCTGCAATGTACACCTGAACCCTTCACAAGACGCATTCTTTGGGTTGGCTCAATCTGTCTACCTCCTCCTCGATCCAGTTCAACTGCGAACAGATCAGAGCTGCACTGGTGGATCGAGAGATCCTGACAGTCTGAGAGAGCTGCTCGTGCTTGTCTCGCAGGAAGTCGGCTTTCCTCCTCTGCAAGGCAGTGAGAGACGGAGGGAGGGGCAAGTGACTTCACCTCTTGAGAAGCCTTCACGGTCATGGAGTCAAGCATCGGCTGAATGTCGGCGATCTGACAGAAGTTAGCGAACAAGAGAAGTTAGTGAACATGTGCTTGAAGATCATGGTGAGGTTGACCATGATGCGATGTTGGAAATGATGATGACAAGAATGAACTGCCAGAAATGCTGTCGGGATGTGGCGATGTTGATGATGTGGAGATAATGTTGATGTTGATGTTGATGTTGATGTTGATCTTGTTCTTGATCTTGTTGTTGTTTTTGATGACGATGTTGTTAATGTTGTTATTGATGATGTTGGAGATGATGATGGAGGTGATGTTGGAGATAATGATGACAGAAAGTAGCATTAGCACAATGGTCACCTTGTCGTCGAACAATTCCTTGTTTCCCCTATTGCTGGCTGTGCAAGCATCCAACAGCATCTGCCGCGAGCTATCAGACGACGGCAGAGACAAGTCAAACTGTTCCTGATGGACTTCCTTGAACAACTCAGAAAGCTCATCGGCACCATCTGCACATGTTTCACTCCAACATCTCACGATGTCTCTGTCGCTCTTCTTGCCTCCCAGCTGCCTCGCACTCAGCTGCTCCTCCTGCCATGCCGCCACCTTGTTGAGTGCCGATGCTGCGAGCTCCGCGGTCAGTGGGCCCAGCTGCGTGACCTGAGGGAGGAAGAGCATACAGACTGCATGCTGCTTGTCCGACCAGCCGTCGGCGTACTCGCAGTCGTCTCCTGAGTTCTGGAGAATGCAGTCAGTCGGAGCAAGGGCGGGCAACAAGTCCTACGTATCCATCCCGCTTCTGATGCTTTCTCTCAATGTATGACTCCACGACCCGCGGCGATCCGGGTCCCTGCATGGCAATCAGCGCAGGAGAGGAGGGGAGCGACAGGATGGCGGTACCTGATGGCAGACCTTGCACAGAGCTTCCTGGCTGCCGAAGATCAACTTACGGATGTTGGCAAGGCTCTTGCTGCATCGGTAGTCAGGGATAGGGAGAAACTCCTTCGCTCGCTCGCTCCTCCCTCCCTGCCGGCCTCCCTGCCTCCCTGCCTCCCTGCCTCACTCCCTCCCTCTATCTCCCTCCCTCCCTCACTCACCCGTACAAGCCCTCGTCGTCTATAGATCGGATGCAGCTGCCGAGGAGAATTTTGCCTCGGGCTGCTGGGCTTTCAGGGATGATGCCGGTCACGATGTGCTGCTTCGAGCTGGGATCGATCTCGATGAACATGCCCAGGCAATGAAGCTAAGAAGCAACTCAGAGTCTCGTCGTCACGCTCTTCTCCTCTACACCTCCGGTGAGTTCAGAGGAATGGAAAAGTGGAACTGAGAAAGTTTCCCGTCCTTGTCGAAGACAGTCATGTCAAGCGAGGATGCTGCGTCCTTGTGTCAGCAGAGGTAAGAAAGAAGAGGTACAGGAGGCAGGAGGCAGGAGGCAGGAGGCAGGAGGCAGGAGGGAGGCAGGAGGCAGGAGGCAGGAGGCAGGAGGCAGGAGGTAGGAGCAGAGAGGAGGTCTGGTTACCAGTCTTATCCTGCAGCATGGCACATAGACTGTCGACGCTGGTGGGTCGCTCCCCGTTGATCTCGATCACTTTGTCATCCACTTCTATCCCGTAGGCCCAAAACCTGCGAGTTGCTCTGGAATCAAATAAAGCACAGGGAGTGAGCAAGGAGAGGAGGAGAGGGAAGGGGAGGAGGGGAGGGACAACAGGAAAGGAGAGGAGGAGAGGAGAGGGAAAGGGAGGGGAGGGAGAGCAAGAGAGGAGGGGGGAGGAGTGGAGAGGGGGAGCAGGAGAGGAGAGGGAGGAGAGTAGCAGCCCATGGAGCAGCAGGAGCAGCAAGGGAGCTACCATCCGTATGCTCGGACATCTGAGACGAGAAGACATTCGTCCCCGTCCAGCAGCTCCGCCCCCACCTGCTCCAGCAGCGTCTGAGCCATTGGCAGCCAGTCGTAGGTCCGGCAAGAAATCCACTGGAAGTAAAATCTAGAGATTTGTGTACGGGATTTCAATATGAGGGTACGAGCCGGGGGGGGGGGGGGGGGGGAAGGGCAGAAGAGCAGGACAGGGGGGGAGGGCAGAAGAGCAGGACAGGAGACGAGGATACAGCCTTGACGTGAAAGAGACATGAAGGTTGGTGTGAATAAAACTCATCTGCTGTGAGAGGAATAATCATGTGAATTCATTTACATCCCCATCAATGGTATAACAAATCTTTCTGCTGGAATACTGTAGATTGAACTGTTAGGGATCGGGGAGTTGTCAGGACAGCTGGAACTGATCTGGTGAGAGGATATTTCTATTCTTTTGGCGGCATGCACAAACTTAAGATCGTACACTATGAAGACGAGTCAAGTGCTCGATGAGAGGCTGTAGGGTCAACACAGAATGATGATGATGATGATGATGATGATGATGATGAGGAGGAGGAGGAGGAGGAGGAGGAGGAGGAGGAGGAGGAGGAGGAGTATCAGTCGGGAGAGAGGAAGAGGGAAAGAAGAAGTGGTCAGGCTACAGCAAGGGAAGTAAACAAGTTCACCATCTCCACGGGTGTTGCCGAATCTTCCGGACGCAGGATTGTCGTGCGGGAAAAGCCTTGGTACCCCTCGACGGACGTTTCTGATACTGTCGGGCCCTCGTCAAAGAAGAGGCAGAAGAAGAAGTTGCGGCAGTCAGCGGACCTGACTGAGTTCTTGAAACAACATGAACCTTGAAGACACGTCTCAACCCCCATCGTTCACACAGGTTGCAACGGCAAGGCAAACCTCGTCGAATCTCTTCTTGAGAATGTTGGCCACCACACAATCGACCTTGTACTTCTCTATTGCCCCCGTCGCCTGTTCAGAACATCAACATGCTCTTCTGCCCTCTCTCCTTCTCCCTTCTACCTTCTTCATCAGAATCGATTCATCCGTCTCGAGCTTGAAACTGACCACAACAGCTCTAGGGCACCAGGTCTTCTGCTCCCCCCAGCCACGTCACTTGGATCCCTGGCAAGTAAGGTACACGACCTTGAGCAAAGACAGACACTTGGGTGTTGGCGTGAGGCAGATGTTCAAGTTGTCGGAGCCTGACTGTATCTTGTGTTCTTCCATCTGCTGAAGTTTCACAAGGAGATTAGAGGAGATTCTAGTCACAACAAGGTGGTCGGGGATGAAGTAGTCAGAGACAGCAGCCGCAAGGTAGATCATGGCTCTCTCTCCCGCCTGTGAATCTTTCAGACCGCAACGAAGAACAATCAACCAGGTCACCGGCTGCAGAGCTTGGCAGACATGTTTCAGCATGAACAAGTACTCGTGCACTGTGAAACCATAACCCAAACATACAGCGGCATACGAAAACACACCAGAAGTGAACCCCAGCTGCAACAATGTGCCCTCTTCGTCCGCCTTTCGGTAAAGATTGAACAATCTGCACAGATAACTGTTGAGCTGTTCACAACTCGATCAAGATTTGGCAGGACCTCTTAGCAACCGAGTGATCGGAGCCTGAAAGTTTCGCTTTCATCCCCCAGACCTGATGCTCTTCTGGGCAGCAAACCAAGTCAGAAGAAGAATCTTGACGGCAAAGACGACCATCGACTTCTACTTGTCGAGAAGAGAGAGCATCAGCAAACAAGAGGTCCTTCAGCCTCTTGAATGGCATGTGCGATCCCTGGAGCCAACATCATCCCATGCAAAGGACGAAGAAATTGGACTTGGGGAGTGGAGGAGTGGAGGAGCCAGGGAGGAGGGGGAGCAGGGGGAGCAGGAGGAAGGGACGGGGATAAGGCGAGGAGAGCATGCATATGGGCAGTCTGACACCTCACGGTGCATGAATACAACAGCATATCCCTGCTCCAAGAAATACTCCGCGCTGATGCTGCCCCTGGATCCTGTGACAGCGATGCTTGGTGAGATCAGGTCAGAGGAGGAGGAGGAAGGAGGAAGGAGGAGGAGGAAGGAGGAAGGAGGAGGACCTGTGCTGAAGTTGTCGAGGAAACGTACAGTGTTCTTCTCCAGCGGGACTGTTGTTCCTCCGCTCGTTATCAAGACCAAGTTTCTCTGAGACAGGTTAGCAGCTGAAGGGGAAGGAGAAGAAACTCACTCGCTCTGACCTCAAGTGCTTGTCCACAAAGCTCCTCGTGGCCTCACACGCACTCAGACAGGACGAGGGGGCCTGGAGGCAACAGCTGTCACCAACTGATTTGCATGAGACGCTCTGCCGTCACCGGACGCGAGAAGAAGTCTGGTTCTGATGCCATCGCAGACATGCACCAGAGGACTACCAATGCTGTTGACCACCTTCGCATTTGTACATTCAATCTTTGTTTTCCTTGCCTCCCACTCAATCCCAAGTCATTCCAAAACAAGTTGAAACAAGAGCAGAAAAGTTTGTCTTTGACATGCAGTTTGCAACTTCAAGGCTCCTTCTCCGTTTCGCTCAGTCCTCGTAGCAGACAACATGTTCTGATAAACAATGATTCAAAGCATCTTCTGTCCTCTTGATCTCATCTTCTCTCTACTCCCATCTCGCTCTCTGTCTCTATCCTTCCATCATCATGCCCTCTATCGCTGCCTCCTGTCTCCTTGACTCGCCTGCATCGCCTGCACATTCTACATCGGAATCACATAAAAGTGCAAATTATGATCATTTTGAGTATAATTATATCAAATATGGGCAATTTCATTGTCGTGTTATATAACAATATGTGCGTTTATATATAATCGACATGAGTTATGGAAATTTCCCATCCTCTCGGGAACAATTTCACCTCTCCTACTCACAACAACATCCGCCTCCCTCCCTCCCCTCCCTCCTCCTCCTCCTCCTCCTCCTCCTCCTCCTCCTCCTCCTCCTCCTCCTCATTCTCCCTATCCCTACCCTGGCTCTCTTCCTTCTTGCTGTCCTCCCCCTCGTCATCGTCCTCATGGTTCACTTGGTTCTCAGCCTCCTAGTCCGCCCCCTCCATCCCACAATGTTTTGCTCCTCTTTATCTTCCTCCTCTGTATTCTTCTCTCTTCACACACACACACACACACACACACCTCAGATTCCACATCTTCATCCTCATCATTCCTCCCTATATGTTTCACTTTTCGTGCCAGTCCCTCCAACTTCTCGCACCTCCCAGCTCGATTTCCATGTCCTGCCTCCATTTCTCCTCACCCATTTCAACAACGATCTCCTTACCCTCCTTCCTCCTATCCATAATCCATCCCCTCGCTTCCTATTACTTCATTCCCTTCCACCGTTATCACTTTCCGTTTTCCTGCATTCTGCGAACTTGAGCGTGCATCGAGTGGTTCGTCGCCTGATTTCTTCTCAAGGTCCTTCACATTGGATGAGAATCAAGTGAGCGATCCGTCAGCGGCATGGTGAGCGATGGTCAGAAGAGTGATGGGCAAACGGTGAAGCCGGAGGATGCGCTGAGGAACAAGTATGCGCAGGTGACATTTGTTTTGACTCCATGAACGAGTCTCTCCTGACAGCTTGCGAAGCTGAAAGCGAAGAAGCTAGCTGCCCAACAGAAGAGCGGAGCTGCAGGGGCAGCGGGTGCTGGCTCTGCCCTTGCTTCACCGTCGAGCTCAGCAGGAGGCGGCTCCTCCTCGTCCGCGTCTTTCACTTCTCCATCCTCAAGCTTGAAGGAGAAGTCATATGACGCCCTGGACAGCAAGAAACGGAAGTTGGAGAGCGAGCCGGAGACAGTGAAGGCCTCGTCTCTCACAAGGGAGGTCATCCAAGCTGTCCAGTCCTCCACCAAGAAGGCTGCCGTCAGCGATGCAGCGATCAACCCTGAAGTGAAGAAAGCCAAGGCAAAGCAGCCCCGCCCCTTCTGCGTCTTACACGCATGCTCTTGCTAGGTGATGAACATGAACATCCCGAGGCGGGCAACCCCGATATCCTCGAAGCCAGCAGATCGAGAAGGAAACGCTCCTGGGTCAGACCCGGCTGGCGGAAGCGTCTGGAACAAGCCGAGGGTGAGTGTGTGCGGGGATGCGGGGAGGAAGTCGACCCTGAGCCTGACGGTGGGCGTGTCAAAGGCCGCAGGTGGAAACTCAGGAGTCACTAAGGGAATTCCGCACGAGTACCAGGGGAAGCTCCAAACTCTAGTGGAGCAGCAGATGTTGACGGTGAGGATGTTAACATCAAACAGTCGAGTGAGTGAAGCATTGACATACAGGCTGATGATGTGGAGGGCATCAAGCAATGTATCCGGTCAGAGCAGGAGGACAACGTGGCGAGAGCTCTGGATCAGGTCAGGAGCCTGCTGCCTCCTTCCTCTTCTCTTGTACATGTTGTGACAGCCTGACAGTTCCTGAAATCAAATCTGGACGGCATCAAGAACAAAGTTGGGTATTTCAACTGTAAGGGCACCAGCTAGCATTCTTGATTGTGCTGACCTTAACACACAGCTATCCTAAGGAAAGCCAAGGACGGGAGGTCAAGAATGCCTTACAAGTCTCCTTCTTGATTTCATGTCCATGGTGGAACTGAAGATTTCAGCAGTAGCAATGAAGACGAGAAGCCAGGCTCTTCGAAGCTCATCTGGCCGCAAGAGGTGTGCCTATGCTGTTGACGGGAGGAGGATGAGACTGGAGACGCCAGGAGAGAATCTTCTCCGACATGAACCTCAATGAGGTGAGCTGGTGCTGTGGGTCAGGAGGGCAAGTGAGATCATGAGCAGGGGAGATTGATTGAGAAAGAGATTCGCCTGGACAACATCTCTTGTGACTGCCTCGCTTGTTCGGACGAGCTCGTCTGAGTTTGATGGGGCCGCAGGCAGCCTTCCTCCGCCTGAATCTCTCTTCTGTGAGGAGGGGAGCACAGACTCGTGAGCAGACTTGCTGGAGGAGGAAGAGCATGACCACTGAATGAAACAGAGAGATGGCCGGGGTCAAATCCAACCTCACGAGCGTCCTGGACAAGCTCAAGGTCAGCCTGCGCCTCCTCTGCCCTCGTTCACTTGCTGCCTACAGGGAAATGACCCCTCGAGCCGGAGCAAGCAGTTCGCAAACCTGACTCTGACGGGTAGGCTGCTCAACGTCCTGAAGCAGAGGCAAGCGGAGGATCACACGGGAGACACGGCAAGCTGACTGCTTTCCCTTCCTGCTCCAGCGCCAAGCCGGAGCTGTGTTCGATCTACTGGGCCCAGTACTTCGAGATCTTCAACTCTTACTCGGTGATCCCCAACAACTGCCAGGTGGGTGTCGAGGCCTTCCTGACGATGTGGAGATGAAAGTTGGTTGCAGACCGAGAACAAGATCAAATCTCTTCATCTCTTCGAGTCGCCGCTGGTGGGAAGAGGATTCGCAGCCAGCATCTCCGCCCTGAACCACTTCCTCAAGCTCAAGTGAGGAGGAGGGAAAGGACGACAGGCTCCTCTGACCGCATGGCAGATGCACGTCCTGGTCGTTAGAGTGGACGGGACACACAGGGTACGGATCGTGGTTGCTGGTCGTCGGGTGATGACGCCGAGGGCAGGCTGGAGTGGGAGATGCGCTGCAAGATAGGGACGAGCGAGAACGTGAGGAGCGAAGATGAAAGATTCCTCAGGTGAGAGGCGGGAGGCAAGGTCAGGAGAAGGAGGAGGAGGAGGAGGAAGAGGGATCTGGTAGGAAGGGATGAGCACAACAAGGAAGGGTTGTGTCATTACCGGGAGCACGAGGAGAAGGGTCAGCGGGAGCAGCAGCAAGAGAGGTTCGCTGGCAATCGTCTGACCAAACACTCAGGAGCACTCTCGATCACTGGGTGTTCAACAGTGAGGGGCAAGACTTTACCATCAATCAGAGCACCATCGACGCTCTCTGGAAGAAAACACAGGCAGGACTCGAGCTTGTGATGTGGAGAAGTAAAGGGACAAACAGGGAAGGGGCTCATGCCATATTGTCATTGCCGACAGCTCGACCAAGAAAACTGATGAGCTTGTGAGTGTTTGTTCGTATAATGCGCAAGTTCGAGCTAGTTCAATCTTATCCCCTTGTAGTTCGACCTTCCATTGTCATCCTCCAGAAACCTCTTCCTCTCTCAGGTGATCTTCTTCCTCTGCCTCTGCTCCATACAGCTGAGCTTTACTCGCGTCTCCTTGCTCGCCTGCTCCCCCTCATTCCTCTGAACCTGTCAAATCTCCTCTTCGTCCACTTGATCCTCCTATCACTATCCCCTCCTGTATCCTTCCCCCTTTGCTCGTTCCTCCTGTATCCTTCCCCCTTTGCTCGTTCCTCCTGTATCCTTCCCCCTTTGCTCGTTCCTCCTGCATCCTTTCCCTTCTCTTCTTCTTGCTCTCTGAGTGTTAGTCTCTGACACCAGCAACAGACCATCGCAGCTCTGTCTTCGCTAATGCAGGGCGGCACGCTTGTAAGCTCGTCGGGTCGCGTGTTGGCCTCTGACGTGGATCAAGATCATGCGCATGTGGCAGCTCTACGAGAGCGAGAACGCAGCTCTCATCTTCCTCCTCAACAGCATCTTCTCCGAGGTTCCTCCCTCTTCAAGGTCGCTGAAAACCTCCTGACATGCTCCCCAGACGGTTGTCTGCCGCCCGTCGACTGTCCAAAGCCCATGGTGCGAGCTAGTCAAAGTCTCCAGTCCTGCCGTCTCCTCCGCTTGCTGCTCCTCTTGCGCCTCGCTCTGTTTCCGCTCCTGTGTCGCTGACATGCGAGCAGCGGGCACGTCTTCCTTGTCTGTCTTGGCTTCAAGGGAATTTCTCAGCTCCATCTGGATGCTCTTTCGAAGGCGATTGGGGAGGATACAGAGGCAGACGAAGGACCTCGGATGACGATGGTGAGGGAGTAGGCTGTTAACAGCAGGCCCGTTGACGAGCTGACAGATTCCAAGAAGCTTTCTTCCTTCATCGTGGGTTCAGGTTTTCCTTGATCACACTGTTTCTCAGTCTTAGCATCTCTTGTCAGCAAATCAGGACGTGTGTCGAGTTCTTTGCGAACTTGCAGGTTGACTGAGCAACTGAACATGATGTGGTGTTGATATGTTTTTGTGATCAGATCGCAATCATCAACCGCGATCTTGACGTCAACAACAACTTACAGCAGCATCTGAGGGAGATCTATAGCGTAAGCTGATCCTCCCTTACGTCTCCCCTCTCATCGCCTGCCTTACAAGACTCGGGATCGCGCTGCTCAACAATGGCGCGTACGCTACAACTGTCGCACGCTGAGCTCGGTTGTCACTTGCACTTCTGACTCGCATGACGCTGTCTCGCTAGATTCAAGATCGTCTGACTAAGGACGCTGGCATCATGAACCTCAACATATCCTCAGCAGGCACGTTGACCCTCCTGCTCTTGCTCCTCTCACATCGCTCAAGGCGGCAAGCAATGGTTCGCCATACGAGGACGCTTCTCGCACAACTTCTCGGTGAGAGGAGGAGCAGGAGCGGGAGGGGACCTGACGATTCGTTTCAGTCTATCAAGGCTTGAACAAGTTCACAAGGTCTGGAGATCGAAGGAGGAGAGAGGTCAGTTTGAGAGCAATCGAAGCTTCTGTAACAGGCGGCTGCTTCAGTCTGATTGTCTGTGCATTGCTCTTGTATTCTTGTACTAAAAAGAGATACCAAACAACTTGGAGAAGCTGGGTACAAGTCCTAACTGCATCACATATACGTAGACGACGATGAAGAGGATAAGTAGAATACAACAACAGATGCAGCAGCAGCATGGTTTCTCGATTGATCGCCTCCTTGCCTGCGTCGACGTCAAGGAAAGCTACAACGACTGCGAAACTTACAAACATAGATGATGTACGCCTTGCAACCCTCGGGGTCCAGGATAGGATTGGTGGGCTGTGGCGGTCGATTGCTGCCGTCCAGTCTATCAGGCAGGCAGGCAGGCAGGCAGGCAGGCAGGCAGGCAGGCAGGCAGGCAGGCAGGCAGGCAGGCAGGCAGGCAGGCAGGTTGAGACTTACGGGTCCTGGAGTTTGGCTGGCCCTGCCTTGAAGCCGAGAGACGCAGGGATGGCTCGGGCCTTGGCTCGCGGCATGATCTGCACGAATGTCAGGCAAATGTCACATTGGCGGCGACGACTTTCCTGGATGGTGAGCTGAATTTCGCACTGGTAGTTGCGTTTGAAGTCGTATCCTGGTGCTCTAAAGTCCTTGTTCGTCTTGCAACCTGGTCCACCAGGGTGGCAGAGTCTGAACCACCTGCAGCGAGGGATGAGCGTCAAGGAGAGGAGAGATTCGACAACACCTGAAAGGATATTTTGTTCCTTCCTCATCAACCCCCATGTGCCTGCTGCCTGAAAAAGCAAATTGAGCGAGCAGGAGGGAAAGGACTGCACACTACTTTCAGGCTGAAGAGAAACTATCTCCATGTCATCTGCTGACGTCTTTCCAAGGTTTCGCTGCATGCAGTCCAAGAAGAGGGGCTGAAGTGAAAGTCAGCAAGCCCACCTCTGGATCAGTGAGCACCTGTAAAGGCAGAAGACCCTCCGCGATGGCATGCTGGCCGCCAAGGAGGGAGTCGTGCCAGACAGTCAACTTTAGGATGAAATCTTTCGCTGGCACCGTCGGATCAGGACAAGGGAATTTGAGGCCCTTGAACTTGATCCGATAGTTGAACATGGCGTTCCTCGACACTTTGACACCGTAGTCGGTGTCCGTCTCCTTCACCCTACCCCACCCCATCATCTCAGCTCGAATGATCACGTCGCTCGTGTATCCATTCTTCGGGGCGCAGCTCTTGAGGTTCCATACGATCATCCGCATCTCAAGAGGCATCTGCCTGCCAGCGATGTTGATGTCCTTCTCCGGGTAGTCATCGACATCCACTCGCAGAACAGCATCCACGATCACCAACATCTTCCCCACTGTGATGCCTGGCCTGTTCTGATTGTAGAGGTCCCGCGTCTCCCTGGGCTTGTTCACCGTCTTCTTGGCCCATTCTTCACAGAACCATCTGTCTTCAAGGTCCACGATGGTCTCCCCTATCACCCTGTCTCCCCCAACTAGATTCCCCAGCACTGGTTGCAGCAAGCCCAAGTTTGCTTCTTCCATCAGCCGTATGTGCAGTAGCGAGGGTCCCGGCAGCTTGCCTGGTATCTTGGCACACCTGAAGAACTGGGGGTTGAGAGCTGTGATCGGATCATAAAAGTCGCGCCATTTCCATTTCTCATCGCCCAAGGTGACTTCAATGAAATTGTCAGACTTTGCAACTCCGTCGACGACGGTTGATGGACTGACTTGAAACGCCTTGAGCAGGTAGACTCTTATTTCAAGGTCTGTGGCAGGATAGTTCTCGTTCACATCGGGCACCTCGTACGGAACCTCTCTTCCGTTCTTGAGCTCCACCATGTCAAGGTATCTTGGTTCTTCGCCGCGGGCCTCAGCTTGCGCCTGATCTTCCAGTTTGAAAAGCTTCACCTTACACTTGAGGAAACCGACAATCTCATACTTGGCTAATTTCACATTCTTGATCGGACCTCGATACAAGGGGAGCTCATCGAAGATTTCCGTCAGGCGATTCTTCCAGGCCCCCTTCTTTCCATACTTTTCAACCGTCGCATCTTCGATGGGGCAATCATAGAGGGGATGCATTCTGAAGAGCATCCACTCTGCGTTTGGCTTTCCATCGGGAGTGTCGACCTTCTCTTGTCTATCTGGGAGCTCGTCATCCTCTCCTTCGATGCCTTCGCCTTCTTGAACTGGTTCAGGCTCATCCATCTCCTCCATGTTCGGGTCTCCCATTTCATCGTCCGCATCATCAGGAGCGTCGGCTAGTTCCAGCGGCATTGCACCCTGAGGTGGCTCCTCGGATACATCCTTGACTTCATCCTCCAAGGCCGGCTTTCCTTCCTGGTCCCCCTCTTCCTCCACCTTCTCCTCACTCTCAGTCACTTTTTGTTTGGAGGCAGCAGCCTCAGGCTTTGGTTTACTCTGTTTGACTTTGTTGCCTGCATCAAGAAACGAAGTCACTCTTTCCACAAACTTGTCTTCATCCCGAGCGTCGATGTATTGATCGAATGCTCGGACAACTGCTTCATCTCTCTTTGCAAACAGAGCTTCCAAATTTTTGCTTTGTTTCGCTGAGATGACTCCCTCCTTTTTCAAAGATTGTAGCATTTCAAAGAATTTCTTTCTTCTTTCCTTTTGTCTCTTTTTCTCCTTTGCCTCCTCGTCTTCATCTTCATCGTCGTCGTCGTCAGACACCTCTTCACCCTCATCGGATGGATAGAAGTCTTCGGTCGGAATACTGCCGTAAGCGACAATTGGTGGCTTTTCATTCCATGGGATCTGAAAAGGAAGCCCAAGAGTGGAGTGATCATAGATGTAAAAGTCGAGGTAGGGGGCATAACGCTTCTCCTCGGGCAGGCCAACATTGATTTCAACACATTCCATGAAGTTCGCGTTGGTACCACTCGGACGTGAAGTAGATTTGGTGGTCTGTGCAGTTGAAGGATCATCACAGCAAATTTCAACCTGAGGCGCAAATATAGGATGGAAGGGGTAGGGAGAAGTAAGGTCTCTTAACCCGAGGACTTGAATCTGGATCTTGCAATCAATCATTGGAACAGGTCGAACTGGCGCCTTGCTGGTCCATGTTTCTGCATCTTCTGGATCAACCGGCGACTTGTCGGGCACCAGAGGACGAGGAGGCTCTTTCATCAGCATTTCATTCACCTCGATGATTTGAAACGAAGTCAGGATGTGACCCTCGACGACATCTGGATTTCCGCGAGAGAGAGGGATGTAGACAGGATTTGACTTCCTTCCGAAGAGGTCTGATGGAGATATAAAGACTCTTCCAAGCAAACTGGCTTGTTCCCCATTTTCCTCAAGCACACTCAGTTCAATCTTGGGAGACAGCTTGAGCATCGCCTTATTCTTTTCAACTTCCACGTAGTCTTCCGGATCAACACAGTATTCTTCTGCTCCCCAATCAACATTCTGAGGGAGTACAAACAACCTCAAATCATCCAAAAGAAGTGTAGTGTCAAAAGTAGGATTGTTCGTCAAATATGCAGTGTGGGTTTTTTTCGGCGGATTCAAAAGATACTTGACTTCGACAAAGGAATTTGCAATACCGATGTCATTCTTTGCCACGAGCTCCTTCGCTTGGTAGATATGAGCTTTCACATTGAAGTGTCTATACCAATTCAAATATTCGGACCACGGAGCTGGGATTGGGTGAATGTTCCAGCTGGCCCAGGGGCTGAGAATTGGAGGTCCTTTGGGGGGTCCATTAGCACATTTCTCTCGAGATGCAAACCATAGCTTGACGCTGAAACCCAAGAAGCCAGCGGGATCATCTGGAGATAGCGCGCAGATAGCATCACGTTTCAGTCCGACATACTGATAGCCTGTGTATGGATTGAGAATGTTCTGAGTTTTGGGGTCATCTTCCTTTCCCCATGGAGCACGCTTTGAAGGTTCTGGAGCAGGGAACTCTGGGGGTAGAATGATTGATGCCAGACCTTCGTACTTTCCACCTGTGCCGTTGTCTTCTCTGTCCATGCCGATGTATACGTTCTCTTTGAAATACTCTGAGTCGCCACCTCCAAGTGCAGTCTTAATACTGCCCTTCCACATGCCTATCAATGCTTTGTCGAACTGTAAGAAGCTCATGCGGTAGACTTTGATCCACAGATCTGGTAGTCTTTCAACAAAGAGCTCTGGGTCCCAAACTTTTCCAGATGGATCTGAAGGATTATCTCTGGCATTGTCGAAAGGCAAATCATATTCAAGCTCCACAGCTTCAAAAAATTCAAAGAGGCCATTGTCTGAGAGCGGTTTAGGTTTGATGAAAACGCTTTTTCTCCCTACTTGAAACTCAACAACAATCTCGCTCTGCATTCCGGAAGTCACGAAAGCTTGACCGAAAAAGCAATGGAATCGAAAGAACATCTTTTGCATAGCATCCGACCACATGATTGCACAATCCTTGGGCTTGAGAGCGATGACGCCTGGAGAGGGCTCCTTCTTTTCACTTCTCTCTTCGATTTCTGCTGCCAGTAGAACTCTACCGCAATAAACAGATTGTTCTTCAAAATCTCCAGGAAGTCTGGGCACGCCCGCACTTTCCATCATATTGTCAATGCTTTGCCCGCCGAAGAGACCAATTCCTGTACGGAAAGGATCATTCCTTCTCTCGTACATGTCGATCCATCTTGGCTCTTTATAGTACTCCTGGCGGATGACAATGTCTTTCCAGCTGAAGACAATATGTGACAGTCTGGACACATTGGCATCCCACACTTCACAAATGATCAGGTCGCAATACGAGGGTTCATAGAAAGGTAACTGCAGCATCGTATTCCATTTCGGTCGGAGCGAATTCGGGAAAGGGTCTGATGAGATTGCACCGCAGCCACTGATGACTCTAAAGACTGGATCTGCTGTCCGTTCTGATCCGGTCCCGAGATCAAACCCCTGGTAGACAAGGAGCTTGAAGTTGTATTGGTGGGAAGCACACTTTCTCAGATTCAACCGAGGAATTTGCAGAATGTCATGAAAATTAAGTTCCCAGTCTGCAACGTCATCTGGAGCTCGACTTTGAACTTGCCCTGGCTCATCAATGTTGTTGATGATGCAATTCAGCTTCAGAAAACCCATTGGCTCGGCCGGGAGATCGGAGTTAGGATCAACTAGAGGAAACCATTGCATTGGAAGCATGTGACCTTCACTGAGAAAAATGTCCAAGATTCCTAACCGAACTTCTCCGATGAATTTTGGTCCGAGCAAAGTGGTATGATAGACCGATATCATCAGGCAGGAAGCAAAGAAATCTTCTGGCTGTCCAGTATACTCCCTCTTGAAGGTTCTGTTTGGAATTTCATTTATACACTTTTCCATGACTTTGGAATCCTCTCGAATGCCGAGATGGCTTACTTGGATCAACATATTGTTCGTTCCATTCCCAGCAATGGCTTTGATGCCGCGAGCATCCCATACTGTGGTGATGACATTCCAACTACAGTCACGAGAATTGTGCTTTTCCTTATACTCTCTGCATAGCATAGAGTATGCAGGAACTGGGTGCCATGTCGGCATCTTGCTATCGGATCTTGAAAGAGGATCAGGGATTGATTGGACCCGCCATTCGAAGAGCGAAAAACTTTACTGTCAAAGAAAAGATGTCAAGCAAGTTCAAAGGGACATCAAGAGAGAAAGATGTCATGACGACAAGCTTCTGCAATCAATTTGATCACCTGCAGTTTCTCCAGCTGCTCCCACCTAGCCTGCTGTCCTGTCCCTTCACCTTCGCATCCCTTGCATTCCACAGGTCGCGCAACCTGGCTCCGAATAAATTACAGTCCATCATTTCATTATAATAACCCAAATAATTTGAATATTTGCAAACTTACTCTTTAAATATGAAATTAGAATAGGACTATTTCAATCATTGAGAAGGAAGTACCACCGCTTGGTTCTTAATCGGCCCGGTAGGATCTGAACAGCCGCGCTGCCAAGTGAGAGTTTCATAACCGTTGAACGGTAGTAACGGCATGCCATGGTCGGCCGGGCCGGGCCGCTGGGCCGCAGGCCCGCACTACGGCCAGGCGCCGCCGCTACTAATCACCGGGTGGCTGCCCCGCCGCACTCAACTTGGCAACGGCCGCACACTGAGGCTCCGAGGCTCTGCCTGTCTGCTAACTGTCAGTGCGCGGCCCACAGTTAGCGGCCCCGGGCCTGGCACCGACGGTGCCGGACCCCGATTCCAGCCCTCTCAGGCTGTGACCGTGAGTTGTATGCGACTACGGTACCTGGGCAGCCTGCTGAGCTGGCGGCCGGGTCACCGGGTACTACGGTAGCGGGCCCGGCCTTCCTGCGCGGTTCTGAGGCGGGTCATTTGAAGTTTCATTTCAGGGGCCGCATTCTTGCAGGCGGGGGAGAAGAGGAGGAAGAAGAGACGGGCTGAAGGAAGACACAAGCAGCCCTTCCTTGCTGAAACCTCTCGAATCTTGTGTGTTGGTTTCTGCAGGAGAGGACCAGTGAGACAGAAATGAAACTCATGGTGATTCGTGTTGCGATGTTTGTTTGCCTCGCAGACAGTTTAATGGCATTCAATGTGTGGTTTCCATGCTTCAGCGGAAATGCTATTTCGAAACCTTTATTCCTTCGTCATCATGAAGAAGTTGAAAGAGGCAGGCACATCAGTATGCACGCGATAAAACGCGAATCAAAACAGAAATGGTATGAAGGAATCGACAGGAACAGCGAAGAGTACAAGAAAACGCTTGAGCGTCAGCGTCAGCTTACAGATTCCATGTCGGTGCTCGAAAAATGGGACGAGTCAATGAGGGAATTTTATCAGAAACATGCAGACGCCACAGCTCCTCTCGGAGATGTGGAGGGCCTAGTCAAAGTGGCTGGAGCGCAGGAGCGACGAGCGCTGCGGGAGGCATGCAAGATTCTGTCCTCGGAAGCTTACTATGTCCTCCTTGGGATGAATGCAGGGACAGAGGAGGAAGTCCGCAGGTGCTTCCAGCAGTGGATTGAAGGGCTCCAGCTCCCGATGCCTGAGCAGGTGCCGTACATGGACGACAACTTCGGCACAGAATTTCTCGATCGCGCAAGCATGAGCCAGGAGCTGCAGACGAGGTTTGATGGTCCAGTCCATCTTGCATACAACTCAAAGGCAGGAGAAGCGGCGGATGCTCCTCCTCGAGTGCACATCATGCCTTATCCTGCTATGGATCGCGGAACGGTCTTCACTCCAATCCTGGAGGGATTTTTCACTCAGTACGGTGAAATTCCTCTGAATCTCTTCGATGTTGCCTTGGATGAGAAAATTCCGGAGGGGTATGAGTCAGTAGATGAGAGCGTGCGCTCCAAGGACGTCGCCGCCCGCCAGCATGCAGCCCTGGGCAATGCATATGCGAACCCGAGTGCTATGAAGGATGTGAAAGTTGCCAAACCTTCAGAATCAGAATCTTCATGTGAGCAAGCGCAAAACCTTCTCGACCAAACTTCATCCAGCGAATTTCTCAACTAGACCCATCTGGATTTCTCAGTAAACTCGTGCGATGTCGAAGCAACATTCCGTGTAACAATAGCTCGGCCTAGCTTGTTTTGATAATGAACCGACCTAGTTCCTCCTGCTCCTCAGCTCCCTCCCTGCCCTCCCCCTTCCCTGTCTCCCTCCCTTCCCTTCCCCTTCCCTGTCTCTCTCTCTCCCTCTCTCCCTCCCTACCTACCTTTCCTTCCTCCCCTTCTAAAAACCCTGCGACCTTGCAATCGTACCCCTACTTCTTCCCATGAAAAGTACCCCCACAGTGTGTAAACTTCACTTTCCTTCTCGCTCCCTCCTCCCTCCTCCTCCCCCAACGCCATGTTGGTTCATCCTCGGTGAACGATCGACATGTCACTCCTGATCCTTCTCTCAACCTGCAACCTGGATACATCCGTTCTCCTCCCTCCTTTGCTGTCCATCAACCTCTCAGGATCTCACTTGTCCCATTCGCCTCCGTGAATCAGTTGTTTTCGCCCATTTCCCTTGCTCACATTGATTCCCCCTTCTTCCTCGGTCTGCACAGACACAGACACAGACACACATACACACTTCTTGCTACTTTATCCCTGCTCATGCCACATGTAACAAGGGAATAGCGTCACTCCAAAATCCCACATGATGGATCGATCTTCATTCTACTCCCTGGTGCTCGTGTACCTCCTGTCTCTCTGTACCGTCGCCGTTGGCATGGCACTTTTCTTCAGCTCCTTCTTTCCTCCTAGAAATCTACCTTCGACCTCAATGGCATTCCACCATAAGCGAGGGGCAGAGCCACGACACGGGATGGAGCGACGGAGGAGGGATCGAGTTGTGCTCATGATCATTGACGCGATGCGATCGGAGTTCATCTATTCCAACACCTCCAACTTTAAGTTCCTCAGAGAGCAGATCAGACACGGCGCCGCTATCGCGTACTCCACGAAAGCACACCCGCCGACTGTCACCTTGCCTAGGATCAAGTCAATCATTACAGGTGCAATCCCGAGCTTCCTGGACGTAGCAGCGAATCTCAACTCTCCCGAGCTGAGTGAAGATAACGTCATCACTCGGGCATCGAGATCAGGATCGCAGATCCTCATGTTCGGTGACGAGACTTGGCTCAGGTTGTTCCCTTCCACCTTCCTCCGCAGTGACGGAACTACCGCCTTCTTCGTGCTCGACACCAAGATAGTTGATGATAACGTGACAAGGCACGTCATGCCTGAATTGGACAACAATGATTGGGACCTCATGATTTTGCACTATCTCGGGCTAGACCATGCCGGGCATTTGGGTGGGACAGACAGTGAAACGATGCGATCAAAGCAGCTGGAGATGGATGAGCTGGTGAAGGACATGTGGGAGAAGATAGACCTCAGCAACAGAAACTCTCAGCCTGGTTCAAAGCCTACCATCCTGGTTGTTTGCAGCGACCATGGAATGAACAGTGGCGGAAATCATGGAGGGGCAAGTGATCCAGAAACAGACGCTACCGCCATTTTCTTCACGTCGAGGCATGATCAGCATGATGGTCGACAAGAAGCTTCTGGAGACGATGCTGAAGCCCTTCAATTTCCCGTGGTTTGGCAAGTCGACATGGCTCCGACGCTTGCTTCCCTTCTGAACGTGGAAGTTCCAATGAACAACATTGGAAAGATCATCCCCACAGTGTTGGATCACATGAATGTTCCTGATTATCTTTCGTCTTTGGAGAGGAATGCTGAGCAATTGTTTAGATTAAGTGGAGGGAATCGTTCGCAGACAAAGAGTCTCACGGACCTATACAACCAGGCACGCTCTTTGAAAGATGACTGCTTAAATGCAATGAAGCAGGCTAGCAAGGAGACAATGAAGGTCTCTCAGCTTCGCACAGCATTCATTCAAGATGGTGAACCAGCACATGTAGAAGAGAAAGATCCAACAGAAGCTTGTCTGATTAAGACAGAGCAAGTTTACTTTGATTATCTTCAAAAAGTATGTGAAAGGCTTGAGCAAGAACAGGGTGGAAAGTATGACATGGCAGGCATCACGCTTGCCCTCTTTGTGTTGTTGGCTGCTTCTATCAACTCTTTGAATGTCTTCATACATGTGCATATCAGTGAGGATTTTCAATCGCACCAGTCAGCGAAAGAGATCCATGGACCTCAGAACATCATCTGGGGAACGATCAGTCGACATGTGATCATCGGGGCTATCTCTTCCATTGCAGGCTTGCTCCTTCATCCATCCTTCTGCTCTCTCTTTTACAACGACAGATCAAAACCTTCAGGGGTATGCGCTGCAACCCTAGAGAAGAAGATTATCGTCGGAGTCTCGTATTTTATGATGACAGTCTGTGCTTCTGTTTTCTACTCCTCTTTCCGAACCTTTTCTAGTCATTTGTTGCGAGGGGTGCGGATTCTCTGGTACAAGAGCACCTTGACAAGCTCCAAGAATTTTCCAAACGCCGTCGGGCCGCTTGATGAGACGCTGGGGCTCGAAACTGTAGTCGCAGTCTTTGGGTCTGCTCTGCATTTGTTCACTTTATTCTCGAGTTCCATGATTGAGGAGGAGCATGTGACATTCTATTTCTTGTAAGACAATGAAGCTCCATTGCTAGATGCTCTAACCGCTTTGATCTGCAGGACAAGCACACTCTTCCTGTCAATGGCGAGAAGAACAATGAAAGTGAATGCGCGCATGAAGCAAGGGTTTGATCAGATGAGGTCGCTTGTTGGGGTGAGTATGTAAGTGAAGTAGTGTTTCGTCTGAACAAGAATTACCATCAGGCTGTGGTGCTGCTGGTTGTGCTCAGGATCGCAGGCTCATGGAATCAGGTGATGTAAAAAGTTTCGTTCGATTGTCACGGATGATGAAAGAAACTGAAATGATTGTTATATTTGCAGACTGGTGTGAAGAATTATGGGAAAGCGGATCTGGCCAAGTGGCTACTGAAGCCGGATCAAAAGATGCTGCTCGTCGTACTGGGAGGCTTGTCTCTTGTGTTTGTTGTATCCTGCCACGTTCATGCCGTCAGAAGTAGTCGGCAGCAGAGCACGGGATTGATTTCTATGGTCCAACTTATCGCCACTCCGACATTCATCTTTGCATGGTTTCTTTCTTCCTACTTCTCTACCCAAGAGATTCTCACTGCTCGAGCGATCTTTCTCGCAAGCTTGCTCGCTTGCATGAGCGCGACGTACGAGCTGTATCGCAATTCTGGGAGGAAAGAGGGCGTTGCGCACAGCCCGCTCTTGAGATGGTCCACCAAGATGCTTTTCGGGCTTGCGATCTTCGTCGTCCCGCTGTACTGTCCCACATCACAACTGATGGTGCTGGAACTGACGTCTCTTCCTCCAGGCACCACTTGCAGAATTATCCGCTTCTGGCTGCGATCTGTCTGCAATTTTATGCAGCCAGCAATGTCTGTAGGATGTACATGCGTCAAGAGGAGCAGGCGACGCCTGTGCCTGCACCCATCGCCTTGCTGGTGATGTTGGAGTGGATGGGGAGATGCGGCTACTTCGCACTTGGGAACAGCAACAGCATCGCAACCATCGACGTGAGCAAGGCGTTCACCGGGCTCTCGGAGTACAATCAGACTGTGAGTGGTCAAGTTCCTTCTCCTCCTCCTCACGAGAGTTTGCAGATCTGCGGTATCTTCACAGCGATGATCACCTTCACTGGGCCCCTCCTCATGTGGTTCGCGACGCTGGCCATCGTAGCCCAGCTGTTCGGCTCGAGGAGGAGGATGTCTTGTGCTGTCCTGCTAGCAGCTTCTCTCCACTCATCGATGAGGTAATTTGAGTCTGGTGCCTCCTTCACTGACTGGTGAAAAGGATTCTCTGCCTGTCCTGCGTCTGCCTCGTTTCAACGATGTTCAGGAATCACTTGTTCGTCTGGAGCGTCTTCTCCCCGAAGCTCTTGTATGAGCTCGTCATGTCCATAACCATGTTGTCTGTACATTCCGTATGCGTGATATTTACTTGTTCAATCGATATCTTCACATAAATCTAAGGTCGATCTTTTCTTCCCTCCTCTTCCTCCTCCAATCCCTCCCTCCCTCCCTCCCTCCTCTTTTTCTTTCTCTTCCTACATTCCTCGAGCAAGCTTTCCAAGCCCTCTCTTGCCCTCGCTCCTTCATGTCGTTCAATTCTTCTTGCTCTGATGATGGCGGAGCAACAGGGCTCCTGCGAAAAGTCCCCAGATGGAGTAGGCGAACTTTGCCAGGACAAACTCGTGGGTGAGGGAGGGGAGAAAGCTGGTGATGAGGTAGGTCAGTCCTACCAAGACGGCGATCAGTCCCATCCACATGGGAAAGACAGAGCCGAGCTCGCTTGCTATTTGATCCTCCGCCGCTCGTCGCCGCAGCTCGAACATAATCGAAAGTCCCATGAAGATGACGGCAAGACCCTCGGGGATAGGAAAGCCGTGGAGAAGGATGTGGTCGCGCCAGACCATGAGCTGACGCCTCAGTCTTGGTTCCCGTCCTAGCTCAAGCAATGCGATCATCTCAACAAACCCGCCGATGATGAGGACGAGGCAAGTTCCCAGCCACAACCATGAGGAGAAGTTCAGGAGGGGAAGGTCTCTGGACAGAAAGTGCACACCAATCACGATGACAAAAGTGGCAGCAGCAGCTCCAACTATGCTGGCAAGGTGCAAGATAGCAATAGGAAAGGAGAAATTGAAGTAGTTGTCATCAGCGTTCTTGGCATCCAAAGGGTCCGGAACGATATGGCGAACCAAAAATGTTGGCAAAATGAGACAAAATCCCACACCAGCGTGGGCAATGGCTGTTCTGACATTCCTTTCATGCATGGCTGCAAGGCTGGACTCTCCCAGAAGGGGAATATTTGAGTTGTCCCTCAACATCTTCTCTATGATGACGTCTCTTCGTTACTAAGCTGGTGGCGGCTGAAAACAAATATTCGACTAGATCAAAACAAGTGTGCAACAAGACTCGAATAAGGCGAGAATCTGTAAGAGAAGTAAGGAATCGAACAACAGTCACTGATTGCTGTGCGAAGCCTTCACTGGCGTTTCACTTCCCTGCTTCTACCCGTACCCGCACTCTCTTCCTCTACACTTCAGCATCGCCTCTTTCGTCTTCTCTTCCTCCTTGTCAGCCTTGTTCGTCCTCTCCCCCCTCCCACTCCATGCTCGCACCTATCAACTTGCTGCTCGCCGCATGGCCACGTAGAAGAGTTGCTGGTCAGAGGGGGGAAGAGGGATAGCTACTGAATGAACGCGTAATCCGCAGATGATGGTTAACCACAAACTCACTCAACCGGATCTGCGACCTGATCTGCGACCTGATCTGCGACAGCGATCTCGTCTCAGGGATGGCCATGGCGCAGGGAGTGCTGATGGCGCTCCTGATGGCGAGCTTGGTGGGAGCTTCATGGGCGTCGAAGGAGGCAGAAGGGACGAGTACGTCTCGTGAGAGCTTCGTTCATGCCAGTGAGTCCTCAGCAGTCTGACGGGAGGACAGGACAATGGGACTGGCTCGGTCCTTTCCCCATGGGCGAGCACGAGCAGGCGGTGGATGTCTTCTGCCCAGCACTGTGGGGTGATGGCGCAAGTGACAGGTAGGAGATGACTTCCTCCTCTTGCTCGCCAGTGATGATGATCAGGCTCCCATCGCGCAACAAGAGCAAGTACATCAGCGAGTATGTTCCTGGAGGGTATGTGTCGTGGCAGCAGGTAGGCGAGGCGTAAGCATGGTCTGAGTCTGAATAATGATATCACCATGCAGCATATGGCAGACTCTAGTGGCGTCTTGAACATCCAGTATCAGGGTAAGCTTCTCTCCTTGTGCTACCGCCCGCTTGCACCCTCATACATGGCAGGGCTAGGAAGAAATCCCTTCTTCGGCTGGGCCATCGGCGAGATGAATGTGCAGCACGATACATGCTTGATACTGCAGGTGGTTGGGACAGTGTGGAGTGCTTATGTCGATGGAGCATCGCTGGTAAAGTTTGCGCGCGTTCATGTTCATTGCCTGATGTCGAGCTTGTGCTGGGCAGAGTGCTGCAGGGAAGGATGTAGGGTTGCGAAAGATCTCCGATCTACCTCATGGAGCTCTTGTGTGTTGTGGTCTGATCAATACATCTCTCTCACTCTCATCGCAGCTCTACTTGTCCAAAGGATCGCACAAGTTGTTCGTGAAAGTGAAGTCCACAACAGCCTCTGCTTCGTTCCAGTTCCGATCCTCTCCCTGTGGTGAGCCTCATGGGAAGCTTGAAGTGATCAAACTTCTGCCTGGAGACTGGCGGGTGAAGAGAGGAGGAGGAGGAGGAGGAGGAGGAGGAGGAGGAGGAGGAGGAGGAGGAGGAGGAGCGAGGAGGAGGAGGAGGAGGAGGAGGAGCGAGGAGGAGCGAGGAGCGAGGAAGAGTAGCGAAGGAGGAGGAGCAAGGAGCAAGGAGGATGAGTAGAGCGATGAGAGAAAGCAGGTCATGATCATTTCTGTCAGGTTGGCCATGGGAAATGGTCTCAAGGGCCCCCAGCTTACGACCTTCCTGGTGCGAGACTAATCGTCCTCGTCTTCGGTCCTCCTTGTCTCATGGAGCCTACATGCTTCCTCTGCTGTTCTTGCCCTCGTAGTCTCTGCTGCCTTGCTGTTCCATCTCCGTCCAGCCCTTGACCTGGTTGCTACCTGTTCGCAGATGTGGTGGGCAACGCTCTGTTCACCGATATGGTTCACGTGCGTGTTGCCAACGTGGGTCAAGGATGGTTGAGGGATGTAAGGATGCGCGTGCTTGCTACAGGTAGGAGATTCCTGGTAGGAGGGAGGAGAATGTTTGATAGCCTGCAGATTTGATCGCTGCCTCTCAATCGGAGCAGACAGTCTCCCTTGCTCCCAATCAGCGATCCGTCTTGTTTGCTCCCTTGGCCCTGCATCCCACCAACGTCTCCTCCGTCCCACAGGCAGCTTGTCCTCTCCAGGTTAATCTCCGCATCGAGCACTCGGGGGGGCGGGAGGGATGGACGGATACCTCCTTGCGCCTACGATGTCGGGCTCGCGATGAGAGTTTTATCTTCACCTTCATCGACTTTGATGGTTCACCCCAGCAAGCGGCAGCAAGTACACTCGTCTGCTCTCATCCTCTCCTACCTAACTTTCTCCTAGCCCTCCTCTCTGACCGATCCTCTCTACCCACGTATCCTTGCTGACCTAACTTTCTCTTGCCACCCTTTCTACCTTCCTATCCTTCGCTGTCTATCCTGATTCCCTTTCATCATTAATTTGATTCTTTCGAAGGGTTTCCGAAATCTCCATGTGTCGCCTCCACAAAGAAGGATGACACGGAAGTAAGCGAGGATGACGGCTGCCCTGTCCTCCTCTCCATGCACGGCATGGACGTCACAGCTCAGCGGCAAGCAGACGCGTACAGGTGAGCTGACTGCGAGAGGAGGCAAGGGAGATGAAGGCGAGCAAGGTCGAAGGAGTCCTTGTGGGTGCTGGCTCCTCATGGGAGGAGCACCCACTCGTTCTTCTGGCAAGGACCAGGTCCAAACTCTCTCCCCTTCCTCCTGCGTCCTTGATCCCCTGCGCCATAATGCTACTTCCTTACTCTCACATCTCTTCCTCCTCTCCCGTTCTTCACCCTCATTTGTTTTCTCTCCGTCAACGGAATGGGAGCAGGACACTGGAACGCGGAAGGAGCTTTACGAGCCCTCGTGATCTACAGCTCAATGTCGAACAAAACTTTCAAAGCATCGTCCTCCCGTGTGGTAATGGGGCTGCCGTCCTCTATGCTCTTTCCCCCTCCTGAAAACTTGTCTCCTCTTCCTCCTTCCTATTCTTCCTCTTCTCTTCTGATCGAGCGTCTCAGATCTTCACGGGTCACTCCAACGGGGGTTATGGAGCTCTCATGCTTGCGGCTCAAAACCCCTCGAGGGCCATCGGCCTGGTACGCGTCCTCCTTCCCTTCCTTTCCCATCCCCTTCTCCACTTCCTCATTGCCTTCTTTCCTTCCTCCTCCTCCTCCTCCTCCTCCTCCTCCTCTTGTTCTTCTTCTTCTTCCTCCTCCTCCTCCTCCTCCTCGTCATCCTCCTCCTCCTCCTCCTCTTGTTCTTCTTCTTCTTCCTCCTCCTCCTCCTCCTCGTCATCCTCCTCCTCCTCCTCCTCTTGTTCTTCTTCTTCCTCCTCCTCCTCCTCCTCCTCGTCATCCTCCTCCTCGTCATCCTCCTCCTCGTCATCCTCCTCCTCCCTCCTCTCATTCGTACAACCCTGAAGGCGCCATTGGCGGGAATGCCTTCCCTCGGCTCCAGCGGGAGAGAGGGGACCTTCGCTTCCTTCCCCATCGCAGACCCGAACTTAGATCGCATCCTCTCCCTCTCGTCAGCTCAGTATCAGGTCGAGCTTCTTGCCGGTTCGCCTCCTCTCGGAGGGGACTAGAGGATGAACTCGCAGCAGGGAACGTTGCTGGGATCCCCTTCTTGGCACGAGCAGGAGGGAGCGATGAGGTTATCTCCCCCCATCTCACACGCCGAGTAGCTCGAATCGTCTGTGGATACAGAGCCAAGTACAAGAGGAGGAGGAGAGGGAGAAGAGGAAGGAGGAGGAGGAGGGAGCGAGAGAGGGGAAGAATCTGACAGAGTTGTCAGAAAGTCAAAGTCGAAAGAGTCTTTTTGCAAGCTTCGTGAACTACCTGGCAAGCCTCACTGGTGGTGGGACACAAAGTCTGAGGTGAGGGGAGCAGGAGGAGAAGGGAAGGAAGAGGAGAGGAGAGAATGGAAGAGAAAAGAAGGGGAGGGGCTATGAGATTATTGTGGCCGGGGTGTGGGAGAGAAGCTGGAATGAGAAGGGAGTGATAGAGAGCATAGGAACTGATGTTCTTGCAGATGGATGGAGGAGTCCTCGACGACTCTGAGATGTGATGGGAAGAGAATGACATGCTCTGTCAAGCTCACTGATTGCAGGAGGGACTTCTGGAGCTTATGTGTAAGAAAGGTCAGTCACCCTTGATGTGTGAAAACTTTTGACGTTTCCGAGACAGGGAAAAGACAACCAGACAACGGAAGGACAAAGTGTACTCAAGTGCTTCTCATGACGTCTTTCTTTCCTGACAGACGGAGAGAATGACTTGCTACGACCTGTCAACCTGCCGCTCAATCTCTGGAGTTTTCCCCCTGCAAGCTCTGACGATCGGTGATGACTTGGCACTCTGCTGAGCTCTGGATGGTGAGGAAAACTCCCAGGTCAAGCAATCTCCATCACCGTCACTAAGACAGCAGAGACGATTGACATCACCACCAACAACCTTCGCCGGTTGAAAGGTTCTTCCCTTGCATGCTGCAGGTTCTTTCCTCAAGTCGTTTCAAGTTGATCCCATCGGCTCACGGACGAGGATCAACATTGATGGTACAGTTTTCAGCACACAAGGTGGCGAGCGAGAGGAAAGGAATGCCTCGTCTAACTCTTGCTGTAGCTGCTGCCCTCTCCTACTGCAGAGATTCCTCAGCTGATCGCTCCAACCCTTCGCGATGGTTTGCATGCTATTCAGGTAATTCAACTTGCTTCCTTCTTACCTGTCTCGGAACTCGCAACCCCCAACACCTCCTGCCTTGTCGGCGTTCGCTCAACATGTTTAGCAGCTCAAGAGCAAGGCGATAGTTGCTCATGCTGCTCAGAGCGAGGGCAGAGGCCTCGAGAGAGCCTCGGGCCGATGAGGAACATCTTCAAGCGTCCTCTCGCTTGCATCTTCTCTGGTGGCGCGTCAGCAAGTGAGAGGGACGTGCAGGTCAACCGGAGGAGACAAAATTTGTTCTCCTCTGATGCAGGGATGCAGTTCGAGGTTTGCCAGATGCTCTCACAGAACTGGTTTGAGTCGGGAGCTGGGATGTGAGGATCGAATCGTTTCTAGCGCGTCTCACCCTGTCTTGGGTGCTTCCACCAGCATGCAGATGATGAGCGACATCGAATTTCAACAGCTTCGGACTCATCCTTCGGCAAAGGACTTCAACCTCATCGTCCTCGGCAGCCCAGGTCAGTCCCTTCCCTCCCTCCTGTCACGTGCAGTGAGCAGGAGTGCACCAGGTCAGAACCTGTTGAGCAGGGAACTTGAAGCGCTTGTGCCGGTGAACATCTCCAAGTCTTCCGGCTCTTTGGCCTTCCAGGTGCTGCGTCCGCGCTCAACCGTCTGCTCTCTCACCTCCCCTCAGCTGGGCTCCTGCAACTTCTCAGGAGGAGGCCATGGCTTGACGACGCTCGGACCATGGGGTTCAGCATGCAGTCAGCCTCCTTGTCGCTGAAACAACTGGAGCAGGCGAAGGCTTGTTCGTGCTCGTGATGGGACAAGATCTCCCTTCCTTCCACAGAGCCGCCCAGTGAATTTCTCTCCTCTCCTCTTCCTCCTCCTCTCCTCCTCTCCGCTTCTCCGCTCAGTCAAGCTTCTTGCAGTGTTCTCACCGATAGCCTCTTCGAGACCAACCACTGGAACGCCCACAGGTCACCCGACCCTCTCTGACGGTTCAGTGCAGGCAGCACCGTCATGGCGATTATGCCATCGTGGGGCCACGATTCGGGAGGTGAGAGAGGAGGGGAGGAGGAGAGGCTCTGAACTTGTTTGCAGCCATGGCGTGCAAGGGATCGTTGCGGCGGGGTTCTACGGGAATCAGTATCGGCAAGTGAGCAAGTGCTGTTGGTTGATATGGATGCAGGTGGGAGTTTCTGCCTGAGGCCTCGTACTTGAGTTGTTGAGACGTGTGATGGAAGCCGAAGCTCGATATGTTGTAATATGCAAACCAAAACTCTTCCACTGCCTGACCCTCCGAGACCTCCACACGTGGAAACGACCACTACAAATCTTCTTAGGCGTCGATGCCCGGGCGTCCTGGACTTCCAGAGTCTCCCTGGAGCAGACGAGTCAGTCAACCGGCAAGCAGTCGCCTGTCTCAGTACCTGAGCTCCCTGCCGGCCGGGCTTTCCCTGGTCTCCCTGCCAGGTGGTCACTGACATGTAACCCCCCTCCCCCCCTCTTGCTCCTACCGGTGGTCCTGCGACTCCCGCGTCTCCCTGCGGACCAGGCTTGCCCTGCAGCCCTTGGGGCCCTTGTGGGCCTTTGGGTCCTGTAGCGCCTGCAAAGCCTGGGGGACCGTTGGCTCCGTTGGCTCCGTTCGTTCCGGGGGCACCAGGGGCACCAGGGGGTCCGCGACCACTGAGACAAACATGAGGAGCAGAAGGGGAGTAAGACAGCTGCTTACCCCGGCAGCCCCTTGTCTCCTGCAGGTCCCTGAGGTCCAGGGGGTCCTGGGGGTCCCTCCTGCGGAGAAAGTCAAGAAACCGGGAGAAAGGTTGACTCAGCGTCGAAGCATCTCTGTACCAATCCTGCGATTCCAACTTCTCCTTCAGGTCCCTTCGCTCCCTTCCTTCCTCGCGGTCCTTGAGGCCCGATGTCTCCCGGCAATCCTCTTGGTCCAGGTTCGCCTGCACATTGACAGTAAAACCATTGAAGTTTGCATTCTTGAAATGGATTCTTCACCTGGAAGGCCAACGGGACCCGTGGGTCCTTGGAAGCCGATTTCTCCCTGAGGACCAGGAGGACCTTGGTCTCCTCTAGGGCTCAAGGAGATCTTGATCTTTCTATGCTCATGAGTAGCAAGGTCAGCCTCCTCGTTCTCCAGGTCACGTTGAAGCGTCTTGACTTTCTTGGACATGTTCTCAACTACGCATACGAGCGTCAGCATGTCTTTCACAGCGACTCTTGCATTGTCTGACCTATTGTCTCAAGATTCTCTCCGCTCAGAAGCGAGACGCGTCTCCGTCTTCCCAGCCCCGCAGCGATCTGGTACAATCATGTCAAGTGAAAGAGGACAACGGACCTTTTCCTGTACCTCAGAATCTCCGGATGCAAGCAGAGTAAGACAGAGCACGCAAGCAAGAGCGAGGAAGATGGCAGCAGCTGCCATCAAGGCGGCTCTCCTTCCCTCCTCCTTCCGCCGCTCACTGATCACCAGCGGCGCCATGGGACGTCTCTTCACGTTTGATATCCGTTGCAATGTAACGAATATCCTACAACCATTTCCTAGGAGTTTGCTACCACCTGATTGATAGGAAAAGCCTAGGTTGTTGGTCTAGGTGTTGCTAGGACACTTGCTAGGGACATAAGTTTGTTACAATAAAAGAGTCATGGCGGCGGCATTGGAATGGTGGAAGAATGGCGACGGGAAGTAGAACGACGACGATGAGGAGGAGAAGGAGGGAGAGAAAATGGAGTCAAGGGTAGAGGAGAGGAGCCACTGATGAGAAGGATGTGTTTGAGCGGATGAAGAACTTCGATAGCAATCGAATCATCGACCAAAATTTGAAAATTCAATGAAGGTTTCCTGCACGCCCATCCCGGTGCTTGAAAGGAGCGCCGCCCACAAGCCATGCGCACGATCCTCTCATGCAGCCTGCGCAGTGGATGACCGTTGGGTGATTGTACATGGAGGATGGACCGGCTTGAAACCGCTGAGCTGCTGCTGGGCTTTGAACATGGAGACTTTCTCTTGGAACCAGATTAAAGCTGCCGGTGAGCAGCCCTCTGCACGACAAGGACACTCGATCAGCTTCTTTCCCAAGACAAGGAAGCTACTCCTCTTTGGAGGGCTGGATGCGAGTGGAGCAGTTGTCAAGGACAAGGCATACTTCCTTACTGTCCCTAACGACATCACCGATCGATGGCACTGGCAGGTGGGTGAAGTTGAAACCTCTCACGAGTTCGTGCTGAATTGTTCTCCTTCAGCCTGTTCGCTTTGCTGGTCTATCCCGCACAATAGGAGGGATCATGGTTGATAGAGCCTTTCACTCCACTTCAGACATCGGCAATGAGAAGGTGGTGGTCTTCGGGGGGATCTGCGACGAGATCACTAGCAAGCATCATTCCTCGATGCTGTTTCAGTGCGACACAACATCCTTCAGCTGCCATGAGCCGAAGGTCTACGGAGAGGTAACTAACTTCGCCTCTCAATCTTCCTTCATGGGTTTGTTCTTCACACAGCTGTTCTAGGGTCCCTGCTCCAGATATGCCCACTCGAGCTGTAGCCTAGAAAGTGGAGCCAACGGGAGAGAAGTGATTATCATCGGCGGGATGAAGTCTGATACTCGGTCTGATCTCCTCTCATCATATTTCTCGACTTATCTTTGATCCCCAGGGAGATTTTATCCGATGGCTATGTCTTGGAAGTTCACCCGACAGCAGTGCGATGGAGCAAGATTTCCTTTCATGGTGACCTTCTTGCCAATTTCTCGGTTGCCTTCCATAGCATAAGTCCAGTGACGGCTGGTCTAATGGTAGTGCCTTGCATGGAGAATCTGATGAGTGACTTGCTGGAAGGCTCAAGGCAACATCTTGTTGTTTGGCGGAAAATCAGAAAAGAACAAGAAATGTTCTTCGTTGTTGAGTCTCTTCCCATCTACTCACAATTACTCTGCTGTGTCGAGCCCGACTCTTCTTGCGAGAGTTCGAACAGCAAAGGATGTCAACGGCAACAAGTTCAGCACCAGACAGGTGAGAAATTGTAGACATTCTGATTCCGCCGGTAACTGCTGATATCGTTCAGGACTTCCTCAGGCAGCGGCAGGACAGAGAAAAGATGGCGAAAGGTTAGAAGGATTCTCTTTCTTGCGGCTTTCTTGCCTTGTTCGCTGCTGAATTTGTTGTCCACTTTCTTTTCAGCTATCTCTAGTCTGCCCTCCTATTCAGAAAGGAACTGGATTTCGAAATCTCCAGCTCAGTGGCAAGATTTCTCCCCTGTTTACTTGAATACCAGCAGTCTGACTCTTTTAAAGGAACTTGGGAGAAGTTACAAGTGAAGGATACTTACCGAGAAATCGCGCGGGACACTCGGCTGTCATGCTCGCACGGAGATATCTTGTCGTGTGCTTCGGGGTGGATGCCAAGAATCGAGCCAGCAGCGACGCCTTCCTGATCGACTGCAAAGCTGACGAGAAGATCGAATCGAAAGTTCGGGAGGCACAAGTCTACCTTCCTCCTCCTCTCGGCGTCCCCGCGGTAAGACCCGAGGTTGAAGCTTCAGACGTCAAGGTCGCAGAGCCTTCGAGTCCGCCCGAGGCTGCGGGGTTGGAGGAGGCAGACTCAAGTAAGACATGAAGTGCGTCAGACTGATGGCTGACTCGTGCCCGCACAGCTCGAGACCGCCCGATGCTCGTCGAAGACATCTCAGACTCCGTGGTGCTGAAAACGTCAGGGACCTCCCAGGCTGAACATTTCAAGAGCGTCCTGAGGACTATCTGTTCAGAGATGCAGAAGGGAGGGAACTTCTTCGACCTCGTCAACATGATGGGGGAAGCTGGAATACTGACGGCCTCGCAAGGAAGAAAACTTCTCTTCCTTGCCAATCAGTGCGATGCCAGGGTGCTTCAAGCCTTCACTGCACTGGAGAACACGTCAGGAGAGGAGCGGACGGTCGACATGATCAAGGCAGGCTGACCCTCCCTCAGCTCCCTCTCCTTCCTCTTCACCCTCCCACATCCTGCTGATCTCACTGACCTCCCGTGCAGGAGCAAATCACGGAGATCTGTTGTATTGCTAAGGAGCTCAACGACAGATCGAATCGTCTGCTCAACGATGAGGAGAATTTTTGACGTCTGAACATTTAAGTGAACCAAAATGAACATTTAAGTGAACCAAAATGAACATTTAAGTGAACCAAAAGTTCAATGGAACGACATTATTCCTGCCTCCTCTCTTCTCTACAAGATCTGTTCGTTCTTTCGGGTTGCGTTTCGACTCCTGTTGACCTTGGGAAAGATCTCTGAGAGCTGGGGGTACCTGTAAGGACGGTCAACTACTTGAGAGAGAAGGAAAGAGCATGCAAGACAGAAGCTCTCACATCTCAACGTACGAAGTCCACAAGTACTCCGTGAGCTCCGGACTGTGACATTTCACCCTGCCTGCTCTGTCCAGCACAAAGATTTTCTCCTTGCAGATCCCTGCGTTCTCATACGCCACCGCATCCTCTACCTTCTCACAGAATCCCCCGACAAACGTGCTAGTCGCCTCCTCTCCCTCCGAAGAGCCCTGGAAGACTTGTGCAAGCTCAGCGAGCGACATGGTCTTGAACGAGCTCTGATGATTCCCTCCAGCGTCCTTCCCCAAGGACATGAAAGGGGCAAACGTCCTGTCCGAGAGCTTCTGAAGGAGCACCGTTCCCATCCTCTCCTGGGTCGTTATGATGGGAGACGCTGGCAAGTGAGCCCCCCTCCCCCACTGCTCCACCTCCGCCTCCCTGATCCAGTTGATGGTCTCTCGGACCCGATCAGCGCGGGTGATGGGAGCCGCTGTGAGGAAGAGGACGCGGTATCCCGCGCGGTCGAGGTAGGAGAGGAGTGGACCCACACCGTCTCGCACCGTCTCAAGGCCTCCTGCTCCTCTCGTATGCTTGTTGGTCGTTAGCAAGACCAAGTCAGCGCTCTTGGTCCATATGTCCCCCTTGATCACCGTTCCCTCCACATCCGCTATGACGATCTTGTCCTCACGGTCCCAGAGGAAGATCCCGAGGGGGACGCTGGCGACCTCTTTCCAGTCTCCCGTGCCCTTATCCCTCTGGAGCACCACCAGCTCCGATAGGTTGCATCCCTGCTTCAGTGGTAGTGCTTGCAGCTGGTCAGCTGGCGGGTGGAAAACTTCTGCATGATCTTCGAAGTAGCACTTGCAGTCGTCTCCAACCTTCATGATCACATCTGTGAAGATGTTTCCAACCTTGAGCTGAACTTTCGTTTCGATGCCACTTCCCACTAGCCCGTTAGCTACTTTGCAGTGCCATGACGTAGAGACGAGCTTGTCTTGATGCCGTACAATAATCACATCACAGGCTCCGCTGTGAAAACGAAACGCATTCACTCCCAACTGCATCACCTTCTCTGCTCCTGACGATAGATTTCGCGTCCATGCCACCAGACCGTCCATGACTCTTATCCTCTTCGCCAACACCCTTGATTCTCTGGCGGGTCCCTCGTGTCTCGATGTTGAAACGGCTGCTTCACACCTAGTCCCTCCCTCTCCTCCTCTCCTCCTCTCCTCCTCTCTCCTCTCCTCCTCTCTCCTCTCCTCCTCTCTCCTCTCCTCCTCTCTCCTATACTTCTCTCTCCTCTCCTCTCCTTCTCTTCTCTTCTCTTCTCTTCTCTTCTCTTCTCTTCTCTTCTCTTCTCTTCTCTTCTCTTCTCTTCTCTTCTCTTCTCTTCTCTTCTCTTCTCTTCTCTTCTCTTCTCTTCTCTTCTCTTCTCCCCTTGCTTGCCTTCACATTCAATTTCGCTACAGTCGCTTGACCGATAAGTCGCGAAAGCCGGCAGACACATCTCAGTGAGTCTTCCCCGGCAGCTTTCCCCGGGCCGGGCGGCCGGGCGGCCGGGCGGCCGGGCCCGGGCAATCACGGGCCAAGAGTACTTGCACCGTCAGGCTGCCGCATCGAAGCGAAGTCAATTGCAGTGACTTTCTGAGATTGCAAGGAGAATTTCTTTATTGAAAGACTGATATCATCTCACGACAGTTCAAGGGTTCAAGTTCATTCTTGTTCCAACGTTGCGACGAGATTTCATACCCTCCTTGTACACCGTCAGCTCCTCGGTCTCAAGGATATCCTTGAGGTCCACGCTGGAAGACAAAGTTAGAGGAGGGGAGAGCGGAGATAAGGATGGATGGATGAAGAGGAGGAGGCAAAGCAGGGAAGGAGAGGTGTGAGGAGGGGATGATAAAGCAGAGAAAGAAGGAGAGCTGACTTGTGAACGAAGTCTGCCCGCATGTCGACCAGTCGAACCTGCGCGAGTTTGATAGGAAAGGATTGATCCTTCTTCACCGCCTATCATCCCATGAGCTCAGTCGCAGAAGGGTCGAGAGAGTCGATCAGGAGCTTCACCTTTTTGAGCTTCACACTGCACAGGATCGCGAGGTCTTCTATCAGCCCGACGGCAATCTTGGGTGCCGCAGGCTTCTGTTGTCGCTGGCTTAGGCAGATGGCTTCTCCTGTCCACTCTGCCTCCTGCTTGAGCCACAACAAGGTGTAAAACTGCCTCGAGAATCGCTCGGCCTTCTTCATGTTCATCGACCGATTCTCCGTCTCACTCACTCGCTGATGCAGCTGGGCAAGGAGATCAGGCTCTTCTCCTCCTCCCTCGTCTCGCCTACCTGTTCGATGGTGAAGAGCTTCTGCCCTGCAAGGTAGGCATGCAGCTGCTGGTGAAGCACAAGGTCCCCGTAACGTCTCAATGGCGATGTGATCTGACAGTAGAGGGGCATGCCGAGGCTGAAGTGATAGCCTGGCTCGCCGAGCTGGGAGTCGCGAGTAAGCACGACAAGAGGGAGTATGGGGGGGGGGGAGACCTTAGTCCTGAGAAGGCGTTTGCGAAGCTCGAACATATCCGAGAGCGTGGTCGGAGGCTTGAAAGCCTTGGGCTTTGTCAGCGTCATCTTCTTGTTCGGAGTGTTTGGTTCCGTTGGAGGCAGCTGGACAGCATCGTTTAAACACAGGAGAGGAGGAGGAGCAGGGAAACCTGCGATGAGAACAGGAACGGGATTTGATTATCAATAGCAAACTTTCCCACCGCCTCTCCAGCCATGAGCATGAACTCCATGACCTGAGACACAAGTCAGCACCTCCCGATCGTCGCCGTGCTACTGACCATGTCCTTACTCTCATAGTATTCTACCGGCTCGACAGAGATCTTGCCGTCTGAGACCTTCACGTCTGCCTCAGGGAACTGGAAGGTGATGGCGCCTGACATGTCCCGTCACCTTCAGTCGTTGAACCTCAGAGCCTCACCGTTCTTGCGCCTCCTGTCGGCAAAGATCTGCGCAATGACGTCGAGCTTCCCCAAGTCAGTGCTTTCGTCTTGAATGTAATCGCACGCATCATCATAGGACACTCTCGTTACTGAAACCTGAACCCAGGGGTCACCCCAACAACGCGGTCGCCTGCTCTCACCAAACTCTTGCAGATCTCCACATCCTCCACCTGCCCATCCTCGTCCACACGGAAGCCAACAGAGAAGGCGCAAGAAGTCTTCTCGTTGCCCAACGCTATGGTCTGAATCGCCGTCTCAGGGAGCATGTTCACAGTTTCTGACATGGCAGGTTCAGGCATAGCAAGGATCAAGATCAGTCTAACCTTGAGGGAGGTAGCAGCTTGACCCACGAGCCCTTGCGAATCGATCCAATTCGCTATCTTCATAGGACATTCAGAACAACACGGAACAAGAAACCGATATACAAGGAGGTCTACCTGCGCTCACAATACTTGCGACATCTGCAATGTGAACCCAAACTTTTCCATCCGCATCCAGCCTGCTCGCATATCACCACAGCATCTGCAGTAGGAGCGATCGCGCACGAGAGAGCATCGTCGGGATCTTTGATGCCTTCGCTATCGATCGCATAAGCTTTCAGATGCGTCAGATCTCTCCGCTCGACATCTTCAAACTTGGGGTGGCTGGTGACTTGCGGAGTGTTCAGATTCACCTGGCACCCTCGTGAGAGCTTGTTCTGGTACACGAGGAGGAGGGGGAGGAGGAGGAGGAGGAGG